ACCGATGCAGAAATCATCACAAATTCTATCTGCAACCATATTGTTTATAAAAGTGATACAAAAACCTAATAAAATATAATAAATATTTTTTGTAATTTATTGCATCACTCAGTATATTATACTATTCAAAGATTTATCGCTACCAGTATCGCAGCCGAAACAGTTTGAGCACGGAATTTAGCTCTATTCATGCGATTATTGTGGTCGAAGGTGATTGAGTCCGTTGTGGTATCAGCTGCATCAGCACTATCAGCCCACCGCAACGCGGCACCCACCTAAGCCCCCATTATTTCAAAGGGTGCGCAAAATATTCGAATGGAAACGAAATCTTCGAAAAGATAGAGAACTTGTATTGCCCAGCCCTGTGGACAGGTCCAAGTTGGATGTTATTCTAGGCATGAACAGAAACTATCGCAAACATTTCCCAGCGATCGACCCATCAGAGGTCTATAGTTATATACCTACGAGTACACCACCTAGTTCCAGTTTCTATTTCCTTTTGATTTCACGGATCCTTCAAACAAAACTCCGAACATTTCGGACAGTTTGTTTTCCACTTCACTTCACTCTGAGTTCAGTAGAAAAAAAATGCAATTTCCACAGATGTAGTTTGGAAACTTTTAAAAGTTTCACTGAATTTCACCTAACAACACTGTACTTCCCTGGTTTCGCCGAATTCCTGCGCAAATAAAACGACATTCGTGGTTGGAATCGAGTTTAATTTATCTACTGAGTATTTGCTACCCTTTGATTGTTTCAATGTGTGCGTTTAGTTTCGTAGAAATGAACATTAAAACCATGTTTTGCCAAGTGTAACCTTCAAAAAAACATTATCGCGTTCTACGAAACTGATTCATACATTTTCGGAAGGACGCTGCTTTGTGCAATGACATCAACAAACGATTAATTACTTTTTTCATTAAATACTTTCCTGCGCATTAGTGAATAGTCATTATTATACTTATCTGATAGAAGAATTCAATTCTCAGAGATTAACACTCACCTAAAACAAAAAGAAACATTAATTAGTGAAGTGAAAATTGAATGCAAATTTCATATTTAAATTTAAATATACGTAAACAGTAACTCGCTGTTACTTTAAATATTATTATCTAATCCATTATATGTAAATTTTAATTATTATTATTGTAAGAATGTTTCATTTTTTCATCGGCTTTCATTGTTCAAAAAAAATTACACCTTTGCAGCTTCATTCTTCATTATTTAATCATCAAGGAAGCATTCCTAAACAACAAAAAATCACAAGAAATCATAATCTACACAACTTCAGTTTCATTCATTCATTTATTCATTCATAACTCTCTTCCTAGTTTCTTCACTATATAATTTGCGAGTCTAATTAATACGAGTACTCATCATTTAAAAATTTTAACAATTATTCTCCGTCCAAGAAATGCGTAGATGTTTGCTAAACAATGCGCAACATGGCAATGTTACCTAGAATGTTGCCATGCTCACCCGCCGAGATTCATTAAACGCGTAATTAGTTGACTCGCCATCTCGCAGGGCGCAGTCTGTTCGCGGCGTGTATTTTCCCATCGTTTGCGCGCTTCCAATGAGCCATTTACGCCGTTTTTACGACCACACATACACACACAGATTAATGTTTATTCATTTTATTACTCTGCACTGCATATGTGCATATATGCATTAAAATGGAGTAGAAAATACATAATGCCATCGTTTCTATCGTAACCGCATAATTCATGACCGCTTAATCGTCGCACATTATCATTCGACAACATTACGAACAAGTAATTATTTATTATGTACGCGGCGCGGTAAACTATAAAAACATTTCAAAAAGTTTTGCAATGGAAAATTTTCCATTTGTATTGTTTAAGTTTAGATCGCAAGTTCCTGTCAAGGTCAACCGATGTGCATCGACACAAATTAACTGTTAATTGCACTCAATTGCAGCTTTAGTGCACAATCGTGTGTTTCCGGTGTGTTATTAATAACTACACTTTAATTATATCCAATAAAATTTGTTTCTTTTTATTTTTGGTGATAAAGTTAGGAAAATAATGAGAAATGTTGGCGCCATGTTTACGCCGTGGCAGCCATGAGGCATGCATGACAGGCCTTGACAGGAAGTCGTTACGTGCCCATCCTTCTTAGATTTCCGCTTTCGACCGATTCGTCGTGTCGACTGGTGCTGATCGGCAGCGCAAGTTCAACAACAACAAGTAGCCAATATCCACTTATAGCAAAACATATTTTCAAAAGACACTAGTAAAAATAAATAAAAATTATTTTCGCAGTGTGAGATGAAATGTGTTTTTTCCGGAGCCGTTCGCAATTTATTCGAATTCATATCGAGAGAATACAACGTACGCGTTGTTTGTTACCAGGCGGCGCGGATATCCTCTTTATGCGACACTTATTGCTTTCATTATTGTGCTCCGCTCGCAATAAATGCAGTGTGGAACCGAAAGATAGATAAACTGGATGACACAATGTCATAGAATTTATGTACGTATGCGACGAACACACACGCTCGGCGGGTGCTTCGATGCACCGGCGCAAATTGCATTTGCATTACGAAAGCGAAACAAATGAACAACACGTAACAGGCCGAATAAACGACGAACCGAACAAATGAAATAAGCTCCACCACATAGTGATACACACAATTACAACCGCATTCGCAGTCGGTTAGTTGAATAGACACACGAAATGAACAACGTCACACCAACCAACATTGAAATGAATATCAGAATATGTGCTATAATTGAATTTTTTGTTTATTTGTGGTAGATATTGATATTTTGCGCATGCGCACGGGATACTTTGCATTTTAGGAACAAATTTAATTATGGCATAATTAAATTACGAAATGTATTAGGAGATTAGAAGATTGTGTGTAATGTAAGAACTTGTGGAATAGGGAACAAACCAGGCCAATTGGAGATTTTATTGATTTTTATTGCGAAAACACATACACGCGAGCATACTAAGCTCACAGCACAGTGTTCGCACATCCGGTCGGAGTGAACAGCGTTCGCGTTCTCGTTCGTTTCATCCGTCCGCTCGTCCGACGAAAACGAACGGAAATAATTTCGCGTTTCGGCATGCGTTCAAACGCACGCCCGCAAATGACATATGCACTCGTACACACCAACAATGAAAAGCCTAAATAAGTGATTACGAAAGAAAACATTTTAATGGAAAATATGCAAAAGAGCAATCATAAAAATGTCAGCAAAGCAATTTTGTTTCTGATGTGTTTTTTTTTTTCAAATGTAACAGTGAACTTAAAAAAAGCGCAGCTAAAAGTTAAGGTCTAAAAAAGTAATTAAACGTAAAGATAAAAATACGCAGACTAATGAAAAACTAACACACTTGTTAATGAAGTGAAATGTCAGCCAATTAATTATCGCGGTGTCGAGTTAATAAATCAACTTTTCAACAGCCGACGTCGATGACATCGACCAAACTACAAACAAAAGATAATAAGGAGCCATTTTTAAAAATACATAACAACATGTATGGAAAATATTATTAACTTTCCAAAAATTTTATGAGGAAATATTGGCCCGAGCCAAGTATTAATCTTCCAGGCTGTGTTAGACACAAGTCTAAATCGATATTAACTGCATTGTTTACCTAATGCTACAATACGACAATCAATAAAACACACCATATTGTCGCCGTATTTCCGTGAAGTGGTTCCCTAAGAATTTATCCACTATTATTCAACCGGATATTACAGAAATTCGTGGAAATTTTTGGGGAATTAATAATTACGTCAGTGCATTTGTAAATAAACTAAATCTAATGATCCCTCAATGTCAAAAGACACATGTAGACACACAGCTGATTCATTTTCCTATAAATTAACAGAATGTAAAATTAAAATGTTTAAAAATACGCAGTAGTTTTTACAACTCATAATTTTCATTGTATAATACAATAATTACAATTTACCTTACTTATTTCACACATTTTTTTGGTAAATATTACCCGCTGTAATTTCGCGAAAAACTGTTAGTCACATGCAGATTTCTTGTAATTCGTTACACTCACTCGAGCTCGTCACACGAATTATACTCACATTCACATTTCATTTTAGTAGAATATAGTAGGTAATAAACCTCATATAGTTTACAAGTTATTAACATAAACGATGATGTCATTCCTCATCATTTTATAAACATGTTAATAATACTAAAATATTCTTCGGAATAAAATTGCATTTCCTCGAAGGCGTGAATACGAAAAGTACTTGATGCCTCAAGTGGCACCCACTCGACTTAAGTCACCCTGAATCCCTCAAAAGAATACCTTTGAGTTCCTAAACCTACCCTTAGAATGACCCATAGATGCGAATCTGAATAAGTATAATAACATGAATGACAACGCTTCGACATTCAATGAACTGCCATAAAATAAGGGCTGGTGACGAAAAGAGGTAGGTACATAAGTAACAAGCTGTTTTCTGTAAGTGCTCGGTATCGAATCCAAATCCACAAGTCTCAAATATCGATCCAAGCGCTTCGCACTCACGAATGTTGGCCTATATTTCCGTAACCTTGATATTTGTTTCCTACTTCCACTAGTCACCTCACTTACGCCCTGCTTCTACAAACGTCCCTCGACGATTGATTTTCTTACATTTCCTCATGGGTCATTCATATAATCGCATTTGTTTCTTCTTTCAATAAACGACAAATAATAAAAGTGTAAATATCATTTTAATATAAAGTAATGTTTTGTTGCGCATGCGTGACTTTTAAATCTAACTTATCACCTTTTGATGCGTTTTATGCTTAAATTGACTTGATACCTAAATAACTATTACGGCACGTGTTGTACGCTCACAATTGATAAATAATGAAGCCCCGAGCATGACTTGAATGTTTGAAGAATTGTGATTGGCCGCTGGTAGCTTTGTTTACATTCAACAATCGACAATCGAGTGTCGTGAGCATGCAACATGTGCGCGCAGCGTCGCGCTGCTGGAAGAGTTTACTCACCTTCTAGACACACGACATGGCATCCATCTTGACTGAGGCGGCGCAGCAGCACGCTGACGATGGAGTCGGCGAGATGCTGCTGCACCGTGCAGCAGTCATTGTACAACACGAAGGTGTTCTCCTTGTACGTACTGCAGATCTTCGCCTTGAGCTCGCGGCACTTGATCGTCGACGCCAGTTCAATCTTGCCCGCAGCCAGCCGCCGCAGCATAATCGACGGTATCGAGAAGTTGACGGCGTCGCGGATGTGCAACTCGCTGTATTCATTGCTGCTGCGGCAGTCGAGTATCACCAGCCGCTTGGCGTTCGAGTCGCGTCGCAGTTCGTCCAGCAGCCATTCCTTCGAGACGAAGTCGTAGTCGGCCGTCATCGGCATGGTGGATGTGAGAGATGCGACGACCAGCACACAGCGAGGAGAATCCGGAAAAACAATCGCACACGCGCGCCGCGTTGCCACTGGCAACCGTCCGACTGTTGTTTGTTTCTAACTTTGTTTACGCCACCCCACTGCGCACCTCGCACGCCTTCGAACTACTGCACCAGCACGGCCAGCAGCTAATCATCGTTCGCGAATCGAGTAAGAGAATCCACACGCACGCACACACCCGTTTTGGACCTAGGTTAATGAGAGTGCGAATTAAAGCGACGAGCGGGTGTCGTGTGTTGATATCACCGCACCATATCCGGAGTCACTGAGACGACGGTCTCATTTTCTTACGCGTACGTACCACGCTGATGAATGTTTGCATTTGTGGTGCACACGATCACTGATTTCCGTAGTTGTTTGCTGTGTTTGGCGTTGCTGGCGTTGCTGGCGCTTGCACTCTGTCCGTCTATCCGCTCTCGCACCTCCACCGCACCAAACCTCCGAATGAACTGGCTCGGCTCGCTCGCCGGGCGCACAGCGCGCTGCTCGCGCTACTCGGTCGAACTCGCCTCGCCTCGTTGCGCATCGCACTTGCACACCATCTCCTACTATAACTCTCTCTCGCTTTCACTCACTACACCTTCAATCTAATTAACCAACACAAGCAACACAACAATGTTACCTAGTCCATACTTCGCATCTCTCTTTGGTATGCATATTTACGTATAGTCTATTCGTGTTTAACACTATTCCCGGCCGCCAGTCCCTGCTCGGAATGCGCTGTGGACCAATCAGCATAGCGCTACGTCATTTCATTGATGAACGCGACTACACCGGCCAACACCGACGCAATCCTACCCACACATTAACATCGAGATTTATTAATGTGTATATGCATGCACACAATGCATACGCACTGAATAAAGAATGTAGAATAGAGATGGTTGAACAGGAAAACACCCACGAACAAGATTCACCGGATTCATCGTATGCTTCATGTTCTACACGGTGGAGCGTGGGCGATGTTGATTTGAAGCGTTCGAAACTTTGTGACTAAACATTTTAAGGTAGGCAAACAGATATACAGCAAACACGCGAAGCGCAAACTGTAAAACTGTGAGGCAAAAGTAAATAATTGCATATCGAGGTGTATTCAATTTGATGCAATTAACTTATGACATTAAACATGGATTTAATTGGTTTCACGCCCACCTGCCTAGAAAATCGGAAATATAATTTCATAAATTTATTTTCAGACTCTAGGGTCGTAATATTTTGCATTGTAGTAGAATGGTCGTCACGTGAAAATGTTGAATGCAAAGTTTAAATGTCAACGAATGTTTGCGAGTAATCAAGAAAGTAAATAATCAGGAACCAAATCCTACAAGGCTTGAGTCAACGCTGAAAGTAATTTTGTGTTTACTGTCAGCAATGTGACAAAAATTAACAATTTACCTATGTTTTACACAATTTTACTTATAAGTAATTTAAAATCGAATAGCACAATTTGCTATTTTTAAATGAATGTTTGTGCAATTTTTATCCATAATTTAAAAATGAATTCAAAATCTGATGGTAAGCGCATAACTCAACAACGCCTAGACCAATTTTGCCAATTTTTTTTTTTTTAATGATCGTTGAATGGCATGGCATTGAGATTCAATCATAGTTATAGTTAAATAGTGGAATCCGAGATGGCGCGCTGAAGTGCAATTCTTTATATAATTAATTTCTTTAAAATAAAATTGCAAATCTTATTGTTTGAATTGACACATACTACGAGTATGTCTAGAACAAGAAAGTAAAAACGAATTACATTTTTATTAAACACTACCGGGACGAAGTCGCGGGTTAAAACTGGTATAGAAATAAAAATTAGCAAGCGGAATTGTTTTATCTCGGATTATTGGGTGATATTGAATAAAACAAACCGATCACACGTATAAGAGTGTACACGCAAGCAGGACCCTGGTTTCTGAAAACATATTTACCGATAAGAAATGTAAACACGAGGCACGACTATTCACATCGACACTGCTGTTATCACTGCAAGACCAGGACCAGACACAATCAAATTAAATTTTTAAGCCAATTGATGCATACTAGCGCCATCTGGGGTAAAATTAGAGATCTACACCTACCACCAAGAAAAACAACTTCACTGAAGCATGTAAACCATTACTTAATGCTATTGAGTGTACTTAAACTTTACGCAAATTACTAAAATATATTACACAGCTATTGTTAATTCGTTCGTGAATAAGGGATGTCAAACATCCCACCTTCTACAATACTCTACAAATACATCTAATAATTAATTTTTATTTATATCGATATAAATGAATTTTAAGTTCAACCAAAATAACTATCAACATATTGTATTACAGTGTAACTAATTATTAGGCAGTTTTAAGGACATTTATTGCTACAACTATATAACTTTTTATAGAATTGACCAAGGCCTCCCGAACAACTGTGCAAATTGTCGCAAACACAATCACCACAATCGCAGTTCCTAAAACATTTCAAATAACAATCATACATTTTCCAAATAAAATACATAAATTAAACTTACTCGCGAAATGTTTGTTGCACTTGTTGGCAGTTTCCGCCGCATTGACTGAGTGTTTCCGACAAGCGTGCGTGCAATTTTTGCGCCATCGATGGTTGTCTACATTGTAATGGCGGATAGTTACACAAAACGGCATCGGCCACTACTGGTTCCGTTTGTTGACACGGACATTCATACATATCCTGTTTGTTTTCCGGTCTCTAATAGACACACATACATAAAATTAGCAAGTATAAAATACGAATTGAATGAAATGGTCTAAAATTGTTACTTTTTGTGATTTTATGCTTCTATTTTCGAAGTAATGCTTATATTTGGCACAAACAACGCAGTTGTCCGAGTGTTGATCACCACAATCACAAACAGGTCCTAAAATAATCCAATGTTAACTTCGGATATCAACATAAACACAAGTTAAATTTACGCGGACTCCAACGTATGGGACTCGTGTCTCTGTTGACGCTCATTGTTCTTCTGCAACATCGCTCCGGACTTGCATCTCTTGTGACTCTTCGCACGCTGGTATTTTTCGTGTGGATTACTCTACTTTTCCGCACTTTGGCCGCCATTTGCAACTGGGAACGTTCTTCGCAACGCTCGTTATTACAATCACTACATTTACTAAAAACATACAAACATTATTTAATTATCTGGATATAAGAAATATTAAATAATCAACCAGTAATATTTTAAATCGTCAGGTACTTTTCGAACAACAAACGGTGGCTTCTTATCGCTACTTCCTGGATTACATTGGGCGTTTCGGGAACATTTGGTAATATGACACCTCTTCGTGTGACAGACAGGTTTTTGTCGGGCAATTTGATGATCATAACCGCATTTTATTGCCAATGAATGAGATTTTTGAGGATTGCTGGATGTGATGAGGTTTGGATTGCATAAAACTTGAGTTTCAAGAGATTCCTCGTTTGCAGGACATAATTCATCCTGGATTGTAGTTTTGGTTCCCACTTCTATTTTTGGTGCTAGTATTCCCTAAATAAAGACGGTTATAAATTAGTAAAGCAATAATCATAATAATTATACGTACTGGAAAATTCTTCATTGGTTCCATTAATAAATCGACTTCAGCGTTGCCCAGCGATGGTACTTTTGACTCTGGATATAGTAATTCACCCAGAGTTGTTTGAAACGTTGCAAGAACATTGCCATTTTCGCAGTTTTGCCATTGAATTAGCTCGATATACAGCGTATCTTTATCTATCAAATGAATTCTCAAATTTAAAATATTAAATCTTAAACTACAAGAAAACTCACTAAATATTTTTTGTAGAGTACCCAATTTCCCAACATCGTAAAAACTTCGACTGAACACAAACTTCTCATCGAAGACGATTGGAAAAATCGGTTCGATGCAGTGTGTTTGAATATTAGAACCTAACATATGTATCTGCAAGGATATCTTGCCGTTTGGACATAACCAAACTCCAGGACAAGTTACCTAAAATTTATAGCATTAGATTATTTCCAAATAAACAATTTCGTACTTACAGCATGAACATTAAGTTCTACCTGTACTAAAAACGCTTTTCTTGGCATTTTACCAATTATTATAATAAAATATCTTCTTAAAATTAATTAAACCTCTTTTCTATATATAAAAAATCAATTTAAAAACTTGCAGCCATTCCATCATTATTTAGATATTCAAATTATATTAGTGAATAAATAATGAGGTCAGTAGGTTGTCCTTACGAGTCCTTTGTGTCTTCACTTGGAGTAAAACACGTGTAAAATCAAGTAAAATCGAATAAATTATTGTAAAATAATGTAAAATTATAGCGATGTAAAGTTAATATGTCATGTCACCGGCAGGACATCGTCCAGGACACTGACACTTTCCAGTCGACTATCACTCACGCCCGAGAAAGAACAAATGTCATCTCATCAGGTTATTGATGACGTTTTACCACTATTTGCTCGTGTTACTATTGTATTATGTCACTCACGCCACTCAGGTACGAATTTAGTTCTGTGCGCATTGTTTGTATGCCTGAGGAGTCATTAGTTGCTTGGAAACTAGCTTCAGGACTAAACCCGTATTCTTATACATTGTTTCAATAAAAGTTTAGTAAGAATGATCTCCATTATGTAAAACCAACCATAATTGTGAATATCATTAGATTTGTAAGAAGAACTCCATTTTGATAGTCACATAATCATAACCTAAAGTGTAGAAATTGTAGTGTACCTAACGTTTTAACTCATAAAATGTCCAGTTGTCGAAGTAGAAGTCTCTTATAGTACGTAATATCAGTATACAATTATAAAATAAACTTCTTCTCTGCCTTTCAATTATAAAAAGTAAACGTATTCATAATTAATACATTACTTTCGATAAGTTATTCAAGCAATTCATAGAATATTCACAAGAACATTTGTACGTTTTACTATTTCATTGAAATATGTATACGATGCATTCAATGGAGTCCACGCAGAACGGAAATATTAATGATGCATAATCGTCGAGGGGGGCAACACGCAACTGCATTCTTAATCATCGTAATCGTCATAATGAGTATCGACGTCTCGTAACGCATTAATGAACGAAGAAACTTCCATCGGCGCACTTCCTAACGACCATCAAAGATATTGAATTGGATGTGTGCGTATTGCTAATGTATCCTCATTCTATTTCCTTGTTTGTAAACTCTCTTTGTATTTTATTCACATCACACAATCTTCATTCTCACCCACTTCCTGTTCGATACAATGTAAATATTATCACATTATAATGATAATCCAATATGCTATTATGTGATAAGTTCACTTTCAGTTCACAATTTCATTTAAATTTTCATTCAGATGTTCTTTTTCAACGTTTTCTTGTGCTTGATACTATGTAAGTGCATTTTCAACAAAAAACATCTCAAAATATAATTTCTGCTTTAAAATTAAATAAAAACACATCCTGAGGTTATCCTAAATAAAAAATAATATGGATCGATCTTTTAAAATGATTTGTGATGCGATGACTAAATGCAAATAAAAATTGGACTAGTCACTGTAGACCAAAATCGCCTGCGAATATAAATCTTCTAAAAAAGCGTTCGTAAAATCTATCAAAAACTATTGTACGTTTAATCGCGGTGGGGGTAAAAGTCCTACAAAATCTATGCCTACACTGTAACTTTTCATTATGTTCCTACTATCGCATAAATTTCAAAATGAAACCTACTTCCCGCTTTCAATATTTGATCCCAACAGATTTTGCTCTCATCTTCTCATCTCATCTTTTACAAATAATTTGACTTTTTGTATTACATATTTTGATTGGCATATCATTTGATTCATTTATGATTGTAAAGAATAAGGAAGGTATAAAACAGTACAATTGCTCTAACTTCTTCACAATGGACGATCACATTGTACTAGCCGTCGTCTTTTGCTGTTTGTTATGGCGTGGACTATTCGCAACACTTTACTAGTGTGCAGTTAGGGACTTGTATCGCGTAACAGTAACATTTTTGCGGATGAACCTAACTTTATCAACACGCCTAGTCTACAGGTTGGGATTCTTGTTGGGGAAAAGGAACAAGTTCTGTTTAAATTCGCCAATATTGCGAATAAAGTATGTTTCAGCCGGTTTCTCAGGCCAATCCTTTTGCACGCCGATGAGGTCCAAATTGTAGACGGATTTCTTTTCATCCACCGATTTCTCTACGATCTTGTCAACTATTAAATAAAAAAGAGACGTATTAACTGCTTGCATAATGTTTATAATAGGTTATGTTACCTGACATTTCGCACTCCTTAGGTGTCTTGCATCCTATAACCTGAATGCTCAATTTGCGTAGATTAGACTTATTGCCGTGCATATTGTGATCCTCCCAGAACTTACGAATGTCGCTACCTTTCAAATCCTCAATAGCCTTGATTTCCTGCTTAAGCCGATCGAATACATACTCGCGATTTATGATTTCTCCCCAATTCCGACCAACTTCCTCTTTTAACAACACGTCAGCGACCTGTTTGACTTTGATAAGATCGCGTTTAAAAGTATTGATCTTTTTCTCAGGCATCTTCTTCAAAAGTTTCTGTACATGCTTTACAAACGCTTCAATACGCTGATCAACGTGTTGGGTTGTATACTTGGCTGCCTGCGTGTTCACCGTAATCGAATAGCCCAGAATACCAAACGTGTCTCGCAAGTTGCAGAACACATTGTAACCTAATTGCTCTTTTGTTCGGAGAATATCAAACAATGGTTCTTCAATTATCATCTAATAGAAACAGAAATTTATAGTTGAATTGTTAGATTATATGTTGTACAATTGACTTACCATTAAAATTTCAATTATCACGTGTGTCTTGATATTGAACGGCCCCGCCTGGTAGTAATTAGTGATGTAGGAGTTCGTGTCGTTCTTGTTAAATGACTGGCAGCGCAAACAATGCTCGCTAGTCGGCAGTTGAATGACTCTTATCTGAAGAAAAAATAATTTCATTAAAAAAAGTTGCGAATTGACATAAATGTACATTTTACCTTCGGGAATGTATTATCCAACAATGGTTCGTAATTAATTCCAGCGACAAACTTCTCCGTAGCTTCTTTAGCTGTCTTCTCATCAACATTACCCTGAACCAATGCCTGGACATACAAGGTCTTTATAAATTGGCCACTAAAGGCTTTCATCATCTCAAAAGTGACTTTTTCAATCGCCGCGTGTTTCTCAATTGGCGGCCAATAAGTACTCAACAATAAAGACAATCGTAAATCCTTATTAAGAGAGCTAGGCTTGAGAAACTTATTGTAATAAACCATAGTCTGACTTTCTTTGACAGCTTTAAACATTTCTTCGGTGACTTTGTTACCCACATCGACAAGATACTTGGTGATAAGCTCCAACAACACAGGAAGCTTTTCATTGTAGCCGTTCAATCTGATATACATGCCTTTATCAGCAGCAGAGAAACTATAATCAAGACCAGCCACCTGTGCCGGGTAGGCCTCTTCAGTAAGTTGGATAGTAAGTAGACTTAAAAACATGTCAAGCATACAACTGTTCGTCGGCGACTCAAGAGGCATGGGGGAAATAAGATAGTAGTAATAGTAAGCGGACGGTGTTTCAAACTTCTGATCAAACCGGTACCACAACTCCAGTTCTTTTGTATCGATAATTTTGATGGGATACTCAGGGTTTTTGCTTCCCGGTGGTATAATAGAGAAATTGGTTGTTAGGAAGCGATTGGGTTCAGGAAGGCGGAAACTCTCGACGGGTTCCGCGTTTGTCCAGCGCTCCAAACAAGAGTTTGGTATATCTAACAAACAGAAAAAAATAAAATAGTCAAAATATTAACATGGTGATCAAATTAAAATAATTTTACTTACCTCGTGTAGTGTATTGAGTTTTAAACCATGGTTCCACTTGATCGCAGACAATATCACTAGGCATATTCTTATTCAGCACCATAATGTTCACTTTATCAGGTCTAAGATGATTGAGAACCATCTGAATAGCATCAGGTCTATATTCAGTGTAAATCTCAGATCCTGTGAGGTAATCTTCACTTGGATAAAACTGCATACTCTCAGCAAGGTTCTCCACCATGTCCACTGATGGTGTCTCATCAGCGAAAGTAAAACTAGTCTCGTCAATCAATTGAATCTCCTTGAATATCCTCTCCTGAGGTCCTATTTTCTTCAACAAGTTGATATAGGAAAACACTAAGTCGATTACATCGTAAAGCTTAGCCATTCCAGTTTGTGTCAAAACAATAGTGACTGTAAAATAAGCGTACATTGTGTTATGTTCTGAGCCAGTCTCTCCATTGCCGGTGAAAATCGCCAATGCCCAAACGCGCTTTCTCAATTCCGAAATAAGTGATCCTTTTCCTTCATCACCCAACAACCATGACACATAATGATGTGGTTTGCTTTTATATAGGTGTAGCAGCGATGGCAGCGCCCAAATAAGATCCACTGATACAGAATTCTTATTAGGGATGATATAATATATCTTATTGAATTCAGGTGTATCATAAATGATGTCTGAATATTGCTTGAAATCAATCGCAGGTTGATTATTGCTCGGAACATTTTTGAAACAATCCAACACGAAGTTTTGTAACATGTCAATGGGTAAACGCGCCTGGATACAGAGAGTCATTCGATGCGCAGAGTAGTGTCGCTTGCGGAACGCATGCAATGCCGCGTAGAGTTTTTCGTCGGCGACGTTGTCCTTGAGCGTGATGAGATTACCCCAGGTGAACTGGTTCACCGGCACGCGCGGATTGAATAGTGACGCAAGCAATTGTTCCTTGCGGTACGCATCGTTGGGTATCGCCATTTGAAACTCGGAATCAATCGCCTCGCGTTCGCGGGTCATCGATTCGCGCTTCATCAGCGGCGAGATGAAAAACTGCGCGAATTTATCGAGAGATTTGTATAGGTATTTCTCGATACATTCGAAATAAAATGTGGTGGTTTCGCAGTCAGTGGAAGCGTTATCAGATCCGCCACGTTTTGAAATGTACTTGTCGAAGTCGTTTTCCTCGGGGAATTTTTCGCTACCCATGAAGACCATGTGTTCGAGGAAGTGTGCCATGCCGGGGATATCGGGAGGATCGCTGAATGAACCTACGCCAACGCATAGACCAGCCGCAGCCATTTTGCGCTTCATCTCTGGGACTTTTTTCACTTCATTGTCTGATTCTGTACCAGCCTATCAAAGAATATCAATGAAACATTTAAAAACACACCGCCATTTTAATTTTGTACATTTGAGGTTATAAATAATATTACTAACCTGTTCAGGTTCACTCTCCACTTCACTTTCACTCTCCATGTCACTGGCAGAGTCACTCTCAGTCTCATAGTCCCCAGAACTGAATTCGTCTTCATCCGCATCCTGTAGATATTTGCAACAGTGTTATTTTACAAATAAAACTTGTTATTACAAAACAAACACCTGTTCAATTTCTTTAAATAAAAACTTACCTTATCAGAAATCAAACAAGCAGTCAACCCATTTCCAAGCCTGATCACTTTATACTCCTTCTTGTCTCGTTTACTTTTAGTCGGCGAGGGAAGCACCTCGAAGGGCACGTTCGCCACATCCTTGGCGCCTGGAATGGTGGTGACTGAAATTGTACTGGCGGTGCTCGCATTCTTATGCTGCTTGGGTGACAATTTCAAGCTGGTTTTACTCATCGTCAAAGAGTCAGTGGAGGATAAGTCGTCCAACACCGCCGGTAGTGCCGGAAATTCTGGTTTCTTGGTGTCGGAAAATCTGCAGCTGTGGAGAGCGAAGCACCGGCGACTTTCCTCACCGCGCACACCGCTAACGAGACGACATAACCTCGGCGCGCAACGTTCACCAACCAGGCGAGTCGCGCCGCAAAATAGTATGTGGGACGTGTGGTGTAGGAATGAAAGCATCTGAAGCATCTCATTCTGACGTTTTCGCGTTTGCGTGCGTTGTGCAATCGGGAAAACCTGCGAAAATCGTGGAAAGCCGGGGGTGCACTTTGCGTATAAACCTAGGCAACCAATGTTACATCGCGTGTTTGAGTTTTACGCAAAATTTGATTTTAAAACCATATTTACCTCTTTATCACATTATTATGTCAGGTATAGTTACAGGTAACATCTTTTTAAACTTTAAAGTAACAAAATAAATCTATTTACACATTTGAATACTATTTAAGCAACATATTGTGCAATGCATAATGATGCATTGGTACCGCCAAACCCGAAAGCATTTTTCAGGGCGATTCTTCGCTTTGTACCCTCCCAACTTTGTTTAACATTCGCTACCAAATTTAAGTCAGCATCATCTTGCTCGTCTAAATTAATTGTCGGTGGAAACACGCCTTCTTCAACGCACCTCACTGTAAATGTCGCTTCTAAATTACCAGCAGCGCCTAATAAATGTCCATGTGCGCCTTTTGTCGACGAAACAGCAATATTTTTGTAATTATCGCTTAAAACTGTCTTAATCGCTTTGGTTTCGATTGTATCACCAAGTGGTGTGGATGTAGCATGCGCATTCACATACCCTACATCCTTCGACGTTACCTTCGCATCTTTAAGAGCGCGACTCATCGCTAAAACCGCTCCAGCTCCATCTGAACTTGGTGCGGTTAAATGTGAAGCATCTCCTGATAATCCGTATCCTAAAATCTCGGCGTAAATATGCGCTCCGCGTTGTTTTGCTTGTTCCAGTTCTTCTAGAACCAAAATGGCTGACCCTTCACCCATGACGAATCCTTCTCGCTTTTTATCGAAAGGTCTCGATGCTTTCTCAGGCGTGTCATTGAACGAAGTACTCAAAGCTCGCAGTCGACAAAATCCTGCTATCGCTAATGGTGATATTGACGCTTCCGCTCCACCGCAAACCATAATATTGGCATCGCCATTTCGTATAAACCGAAATGAATCACCAATTGCATGCGCACCAGTTGCACACGCTGTAGAAACTGAATGATTCGGTCCTCGTAGGCCGTATTTTATACTTATTTGTCCGGCAGCCATGTTTGCCAATATGCGCGGAACAAAAAACGGACTGACTTGCCGGTAGGATTTGTTTAAAGCGTCGTTGGTATCACAAATATCCTGTAAATCTACCATACCCATACCAACGGCAACTCCTGTGGATTGTCGGATATCTTCAGCAGAGAGTCCCTCTGGTTGTCCAGCTGAATTTATTAATTTGGCATTGATTAAAGCTTCTTTGGTTGCCATTAGCGCGTAGGCTGTGGCTGGACTAATCGACTTTAATTCAGATTTTGAGAAGTGTTCCTCCAAGTTTAGACGTTTATCTTTAAGTTTGATTGTTCCAGCGATGCGACAAGGAAGATTGGCGAATGCAGGATCCTCCAGTTTGGAAATAGCGCACTTTCCGTTGATGATATTCAGCCAGGATTCGTGTAGATTAGCACCAATTGGGGATAACACACCCATGCCGGTCACAACAACTCTTCGATGCATTATTTTAAATTGTTATGTTTGTTAAGAAAAGACCGCAGTGTTTTGTTTTGAACTGATGAAAAGTGTGGTTAGCGAATTGTCAGCGATCACACATGTCAAAAATATTACGCACGTGGTGTTTGACAATTTATATCCAATAAACAAACATTTATTTCTATCGTTATTATGATACAATAAGCAATTGTTTCATAAGTACATATTATATCAAAGAAATATGTTTGTTTTAAAAATCATATTTTTGCATTTTTGATGATTTATTATCTATTTGCAATGTTTCAAAATAATTTTTAGCCTGACAGAACTGACCTTGCATTAAAATTCCGAGGTTACCATCCGAACGGAAAACTTTCGGTTCTTTCGATTTACATTTCCTTATCGCGGCGCTTATCGCTAAAAAGATTCCGCATACCGCGGCGCAGATAACGCTTACATCATCCAATAGCGATATAACGCCTCAAAATGAATCTCTGCTCGTCATAACGCCCTAAAACTCCTACAAAATCAACCATGTGTCAGAAAGTTATCAGGCGACAAAAACAAATGCTATCAACATCCGAGAGGCAAAACAAGAGCAATGGAGTAGAAGATCAAAAGCAATGTTAGAATAAGAAACACAGAAAATGGAAGTGAATCCATTAAGTATAATATTAGTAAAATCGGATAGCAAAGGAGCTCGTCTGCTCTTCAGATATCCATACCATAAACAAGAGACTGCAGAACCTGCAAGTACAAGAAGGAAAAATCCATACACATTACCTGTTGTAGAGGAATTACTGCTACAAAGTCCTCCACAACGAATTTCGAATATTAGTAAAGGTTTGCTCACTGGATTCACTGATGATGTACTGGCAGCACTCTTTGCTGTCAAGCCAGAACTTTGCAAGCGGAAGTTTGAGCTCAAAGTAAATGATGTTAGATTTGTCAGCCATCCAACAAAACTCCAGTTGCAGAATAAGAAATATGATGAGTCTGACTTGTTGATTAATATTGTGTTTGCACTTCATGCTGTTGCTTCACCATCAGTTGGTAAGAATAGAAATTCTAACTTTAAACATAGAAAATATTACTTTACATTCTTTTTTCCAGTTAATTGTTACCATGATTTAAGTAAACGCATGGGTATCCTTCTGGAACACGAAGAAAACCGATGCGGTTATATCAGCAAAGAGTTGCAAATCATGATGGCGACCCATGACGAATGCTGTGCGTTAAATCAAGAAGCTGTCTTCGACGCCATATTGGGCCAGAGTACGCTGGCAAAGAATATCGAGCGCATGTACGATGATTTGTGCGGCACAGGCCTGGTAAATATTAGAATAAACAATTGGATACCGCTTAGTTACTGCTTACCTCAAAAAGTGCACCAATGGCACTTGCGGGGCAAGTTAGTGGAACCGGAGGATATACACCGCTGTATACAAGCACTCAAACCTTACCATAGTATACTTCTCCTGTGTCCGGTTAATATGATCGTTGATTTTATTTCGCTTGATGGATCTCCGAGTTTGCATCGAATGCTGTCGCAGTATTCGCCAGTCAAAAACCTGCAAACTCTTGCGGCTGATACCGATTTAGAACTTTCACATGTAAGTTTAATTCAGTTGCAAATTTAAAAAATCAAAATGGCGTCTTGTTTTAGATTTTTGATTTGACTTCGCATTTAGTATACTGGGCGAAAGCAACTGTGATATACCCGATATGCACCACGAACAAGTATGTGATAGCGCCCGATGCGCCGCTATCACTCAACTCGCCTCTCTTGGATCGCTTCGGCGAAACCTTCCCGAATTCAAACCTGATACGCGTGATCAGTGACTTCTCGCTGCCGACGTCGCTCGGCCAGAAGTGTAATCCGATGTACAGCACTACGCAGCAATCGTTGTTGGTTCCGATGATTATCTGGATGCTTCAACATCACTTGCTTCTTCAACTCCATACGTACATTCAATATTTGCCTACTGATCAAACTAACACGTAAGTTTTCACTGTTCACCAGTGCGAATGCAATTGTTTCAATACAATATGGCAACTTTTAGAGACTTTCAAGTCGGCGCAAAGTACACAACGCTCCGCGCATGCCCAGAGTACGCACAGAATCCGAAAGCGGACAATCGACAATATCCGATGGATTCGGCGATAGTAGCCGCTTCGATTTACCGGACACAAAAAGGTACAATACCCTTAAACACAACCGAAAAATTAAAATTAAAACAAAATTTGTTAACAGTTTTGAAAATATGAGCTTCACTTCTGTGGAAGATGATAAACCCGAATTCCGCGAAGAATTATTGCTTGATTTCTCTGATGAAGAGCGCAGCGCCATCTTTAAAGTGTCAAACTCCAACAGCGATGAAGACTTGAAATTATTCGCGCGGTTATGCCGAAAGAATTACTTTCAAGGCAATCATCACATAGAAGAAATCATGTTCTTAGAGAACCTCAGTCGTAGTCAACTGTTACAACTACTGGACAAATTTCGCGATGTACTCATTACATACGAGACAGAGGATCCCACAATCGCCATGTTTTCAACATCTACATGATCATCACAGGAAGTGGATTTCAGGGTTAGTTTTACACCATTTGTACAGCAAGAATGTCGTTTAAAAACAATACTTCGAGCATTAATATTGATGTAAGAGATGAGTTCTCCATGTAGAAAAACTTATTCCATGCTTACAATCACAAAGATTAAGATTATTTATAATCGTTAATTAAGTAGCTACTCGTTAATATTTACAACAGTTCCTAGCTAGCTAAATTCTATGGTCAATTATGTACACACGTTGATTACACATTCGCAAGCGTCCACGCTCCTGTGTCACTCTTGTTTCGTTCTCTCTTTGCGTTACAAAATAAGCAATTCTTGAAAAAATATTCGAAACGTTTCGACAGTTCGAGACACTACACTTGTTTCTCAGCATCAATTCCTGACAACTTCAGTTCACTTAACTCGAGCATTCTGTTGAAGCATCTCGCGGCGTTGTTGCTTCCTCTTGCGGCAATCGGGACAGAACCATTGTCCTTTGGTGGGACCATTATACCCACACATTCGAAGTGGAACCACTCGATGGCACAGTCGTCCGAATCACAACCAATCATCTCGGAGACTTCATCGTACGGACAGCGGCAGTAGCAATACAATGCAGTCGTAGGCGCGTTGGGTTTAGAATGAGAGAATGCTGTAGGTGGAAGCCGCGTTGGCGCAGGCGTAGGTTCCTCATCAGCGTCACTGGTGCTAGAGTTTGAGTCGCTTCCAGAGTCGTTATCAACGACACGTTGACGTATCGCTGGCGGTGGAGGCATGCGCACGCGTGGTACAGGTGGTGGCGCTGGATACGACTGAGGAATAGGAGGATTATGTGGTTGTTGTACAGGTGAGGGTTGGGGTGGTACCTTTCGAGCTTTAGTTTTCGGCGCACTGCGTTTCTTTTTATGTAGGGGTAGTCGTAAAGGCTGCACGCGCATTTCGTCTGGATTCGCAGACATTCGTATTGAGATTGGGTTAACAACCGGGGTGGTCTTGATTGTGATTGGTGGAACAATCATTGGCGGTTTGGGTGATGGCAAATCAATCTAAACAAACAATGCATTAGTCAAATTATAATTCAATAAATGATTTGAAGTTATAATACAAACCTTTCTAAACTTAATGTTAGGTGCGCCAGTGGCGACAACTTTTTCATTCTCTTCATCACTGGAATACCCGTAGAATTTATTCGGTACCCGCCGGCGTTTGGACGCTCTCGTCCCACTGTTTTCGTTATCTGTGAAAAGCGGAGATTGTCCAGTGGGCGTGTTATTGATGCTCATACTCATTGGATTGTGATTGCTGATGTTGAGTGGACTGTTATAAACTGGCGTGACAGGAGCGCTCTTTGGCAATGTGAGAGTTAAAGGTGCAACTTGTGGTTGCTGTTGATGACGGTATGGCGCTGGTGGCGCAGGAGCCATCTTAGACTGCCGCTTTGAGCTCTTCTTTCGTTTCTTCTTTTTAGATTTTGATTTCTTACTTTTCTTCGGTTCTTTCTGTGTAGATGATTGTGCACTTTGTTGGTTACTCTCATCAGTCATACTTGGTGTCGCAGGTCTGCTGTCTATCAAAGCGCCATTGACGTACGTCCCATGCGCAGCCATTTGCATCAGCTTTTCTCTCTTTCTGCCAGCAGTTTATTCGCAATTTTCTGAGGTTCTTTATCATAGAATTCTTCATCTGTATCACTTTCAGTGGTAGAAAGATCTGAATCTCTAATGGGAGCTTCTTTAGGTGTAGAAGATGTTTTACCCGCTGTAGGACTACTACTCGCTTTAGCTTCTTCTTTTAAGATTCTATCATTTTCGTGTTTTTGGTTTGCCTTTGTAACACTGGCTGGAACATTTTCTAACTGAGCTTTTGGTTTCCTTCCTCTTCGCTTTTCTCTGCGCACCTGTTGCCGCCGCCGGCCTTCTTCACTTGAACTATCTGATTCGGAAGAATCCGAAGATGAACTAGAGCTAGACCCCGACGAACATGAACAATTTGATCCACAAGTACAACTTGACGAATCACTATCCGAACTTGAATCTGAAGATTCTTTAGATTTAGATTTTACACTTGGAGGTTCTTCGAAATTTTCAATTACCAAAGCCTTAGACGATGGTAGTACTCCTCCTTTCGCATCAACTTCTTCTTTCTTCTCTGGTAATCTTCCTAAACCACTTCCTGAGCAATAATCATGATCCGCCGAGTTTGCAGGACTTGGTTGAACAATTGGTTGTAACCCTGGTATGTGTTCTTGCTCAATTAAAGTATCTGTAGTCCTGGGACAATAATCGTGATCTCGAAGAGCTTCTTCTAAAGTTAATACCGGTGGGATATCTGTTAGAATCGCCGGAAAATCATCATCATCTTTACTGACATCAGTCAGTATTGTTTTGGCAATGTTCTCCTGATAATTTTTGAAATTGTTCCAAATATCTAACACAGCATTATCCATTCCCGGCGAAGGTTCCCCTTCACCATATCTCGAAATATCATCAGAACCAAGCCCCAAGTCCAAATCATCCGATAATTTCAAAATGTCATCTTGAGAAGTCTCCAGGAGTAAATCATCAGGATTCATTAAAATAGAAGAAGAAATATCATTTTCCGGTTTGAATATCGACGTGGACTTTGTTGATTCGTCCTCGCTATCACTGTCACTCTCGGAGAGATTCAACTCTGGAAGATCATAGACGTCCACTTTAGGTTTTGGCTTTTCTTCTTTTTCCTCCTTTGTCTCGTCAACATCAACCTTCTTTTCTAAATCCGGCGATTCTCGATCTACCTTGATCTCTTCCACAACTATATCTTCCATTTCGGGCTCTTCTTCCATTTTTACCGGTTCCTCAGGCTCCCTGTGCACTTTTTTCTCATGTTTGAAAAGAAGACGTTTTGAGATAAACTTCTCCGTACAATTCTCTTCGGTACACGCATGCGGGAATTCATTAGAATGAAGCCTCTTATGGACCCTCAGTTTAGACGCGCGTGGTACTGTCACAGTACACTGATCACATGCAAAACTCGCCGGCGGTTGGCAAAAGTGATACATATGCGGCCATTTCTTCTGTAAACACTTTTTACATTGAACACTCTCCGTACCATGCTTCCAGAACAAATGTCTCGTGATGTCCTGTTTATTCCTATAAGCTATCCCGCAGCGATAACACAAATGATGCAGTTTATGTTTCCAGACATGATTCGATAGGCGCATCTGATTGTGGCATAGTTCCAGACACACATCACAAACATGATGCGCCTTCCTCAGATGCACCACGAGTCGAAACGCCGAAGGAAACTCATCGCTGACGCACATGCAGCAACGAAAATACACATCACGATCTCTATCCGAGGAGTACACTCCCGGACACTGGTGGCACAACAATTCGGAATAACTGTAGAAACTAGTCTTGCACATGGTGCAAATGAGGAGGGCTTTGGCATGGAGTTTCCGATTGTGCATGTACAACTCTTTGTGCATCGGAGAACTATATCGACATTGAAAGCATTCAAACATATGCGTGAACGACGGCGTTACATCTTCGAGAGCAAAATACATCTTATCCAGCTCCTCTAAAGACTCCTGAATGCGATTATTAAAACTTTCCGGTATTAATTCTTCAGCTGTAATAGATTTCACGATTGAAGAATACCTGTGCTCTGCAATCGCGTGTAAACCAAGTTGTTTACCGTTCACCGCAATCTTGCGCGCATGATTACAATACAGACACGTTGGTATCGTCGCCTGCAGACATTTCTGGAGCAAAAGTTTAATGTCGAATTTGTCCAGGGGTTGATCTAATTCTATTTCGTTGATGGCGATTTCACTGCCGGCTGTAGCAAGAGTGGAAACTTCTTCTTTCGCGTCTAAATCTTGTTCCTCCTGTGACAATTCTTTGGACTCTTCGGTATCTTGCGTTGTTTGTGCGGTTTGTTCACCTTGAGAACTATCCAGATCTACAGATTTCTCATCTTGTGACTTTTCCATTGCCTCAGATCCAGATTCAACCCTTTTCCGGTTATTTTCAGCCTCTAGAGTTGGTTTAGTGTAATTTTCAATGTCAAGTTCTTCTTGGCTAGTGTTTCCCTCTACGTCCACCTCGGAGCCTTCTTGTGAAGACGCTTGCAGTTGATGAAGAGCATCGTCTTCGACCAGTTTCGTTTCACTACTGCCTGCTTCCATAGTGTCCTTATCGCTGTCGTCACTATGCTCATCGTTTTCGTTCTCGGAGTGGTCCGACTCCTTTTGCTGGGGTTTATTTTCATGAGATTCGCTCTCATCGCCCGGGGGATACATCCGTGCGAATTTAAGAGTTACTTTAGGAACTTTTCTTTCATCGTGCGGTACTTCATCATCGGCAGAGTCGTCTTCAACTTGCATTTTATCGCCTGTTTCGTTTTCATCATCGTCATCAGGATCATTATCTTCTGCATTACTATCATCTAAAAATTAATAAAATATTAGCGTTATTTGTGTTTTTATGAACTTTTTATTAATAAATTACCTTCATCAGCAATATTCTGCTCGTCGCTCACGTTAAGTTGTTTATTTTCGCCGAGCGTCGTCTTCTGCAGGTCACTCTCCTCACCGCTAACGTCCCGCGCGCACTCTGCGTCACTAACACTTTCATCCGTCTTGTCCGCTTTATTATTATCAACTAAATCACCCGTACGCGCTTGTTCATCGACACTCGCAAGTTCAACAGTTCCCGTCACCGACAATTCCCCGTCTTTCGTGGCGCTCGTCTCGATGACCAACTGATTCGTCGTTACCTGAACGTCCTGACCACCCACCGTCGCTCTATCACTCTCCTTCACATTATCGCCGATGCATTTATGCCGCGTCACGTAATCTTGCTCGGTGAAAACCATCTGACAATCGCAACACATCAAAAAACAAGGCTCTCGATGCGCTCCGGCAAATTCCATCTCATCCACGTGTTTTGCTGGCGCGCAGTTGTGTTTATGCACCAAATGCGCCGCCAGTTTTTCGGCGTGTGGAAACATCCCCAAGCAATATAAACATATAAATCGCTTGTGCACTTCGCGCATGTGTAGGAAAAGATTCCAGTTTTCATAGTAAGTACCACACGCCGAACAGAGAAATACCTTTCGCGTTACTTTAAAATTAGTGGTGTTGTTAGATGGCGGTGGCGGCGGATGCATAGGGGCTATTGCGGTGCAGTTTACCAGATGCTCATTGAGCAACTGCAGCGATTCAAATCCAGCTGAACCGCATTTGGAACATTTAAACTGCACCGTCGGCTGGAGCCCGAGATACTGTGCGTAGTCGCGCAGTTTTGGCTTGCCATTTTTACCGCGCACCTTTTTCGCATAGCGATTGCCGACTTTTTTCAGCGAAAGCTTTGGAATACCTTCTGAGACGGGTGTTGTGTTGTAGTGATTAGTAAGTTCGAAAATTGACTCGGCAAAGTAGGGATTCGAATGGATGTACTGTTCACTGAGTCTTTGCTGGAGTTCTTCATCGTGTAGACGACGATCTTCACTTTTTTCCTCGTCTTCTTGTTGTGTTTGTTCATGATCACTATTGTGAGCATCAACTGTTTCAACTGGTTCCTTTTCTTCCGGGGGTTTTACTTTACTATTCAAAACTTTTTTCCGTCGTTTGGGTTTCACCTCTTCGTCGATTACAAGATGATCACAATCGGAACTACTTCCATCTTCGTCTTCTGCTTCCTCATCATCGCCATTTCCAGCCTCTACGTTGTCTTCTGTGGGTTTATTAGTCTCATTTTCGTTTTCCTGCGGCGTTTCCTCTGTCTGAGGACTGTGGCGTGGAGATGCGTGATAATCCCCGGTGACAGGCGATGGCTGCGGCTGTTGCAGCACCGATTCGCCGTTAATTTTCGGCGGTGTGGCCGGCGCGCGGGTTTCGGTTGTGGGGAAGTTCGCCATCTCGATGCCACCATTATTAGGGGTTGCGGCGCGTGGCGTGGAGGCGTTACTCGTCACAGTCACTGTGCCTGAATCAGGGCCATCTTCCATGCCTTGGCTGTCATACAATTGTCTGGTGCTTAAGTGCAGCGTCATATACTCAAATGGATTTCCTAAAAATGCAAAAACAATTAGCCATCAAACATGATTGAACTTGTCAGCTTGTTGAGAGGCAACAAGAAGAGTATTTTATCTAGACACCAAGTGTTTGAAACAAGCAAATAATTTTTGTGTCAAACTACTTGTATTTCACAATGACCAGTCGCGTGTTACCTTGAAGCCACGCTTTCGGGCAGATACATCGTCCGTTCACATGGAAATCCACACACTTCGAGCTCGCTCAGAGTACCTTCATAGAGTTGCGTCCTTAGAGGTTATCCGTCTTGTGTCGCACTCAAATATGTTTACGGCCGCTTGTCGCTGAGCGGCGTCCAGGCGGATGGCGTCGATGGCATCCTCGCCGTCGCGCCGTCCACCTCCAATACAACGCGCGCAAATCGTGCTGCCTTCAAGCTTCCGGTAAATTAATTTACGGAAACTGTTTGCACCACGCTACACTCACTCACTTTTGTTATGTATCGATGTACGGTGGTCGAAATGTTCTGGGATGAATATCCGTAGGCTTGAAACTCCTGGGTGATGCACCGCCGAGCACCGTGTTCAGAGCGCAAATGAGCGCGGACAAGCGGTGCGAGGCCAGCACTCCCCGCCTAAAAGGTTAGCTGTAGCTAGCGAAAAATGGCGCTCCATCGCAGGCACCCACGGCGCAAATGCACGAAGCTGCGCGACGCGCGCGCGCCACCCGATGTGGTGCAACGTGATGAAATTCGGCGATGATTTCCACGACGGCGATGGCGGCGTGTGGCGGGCAACTACTGCTAGCGACTGAATGAGTCGCCGGCGCGCCGCGTGAAATATTGATAATTCGTGTGCGTGCCGCTTGCGGCCATCTTGTTTTCACAGCGTTTCCCCCACACTACCTACGCTGCAAACAAACACCGAAAATCACACTAGAAAATAGATTGAGAGCTGCAAATAATATTCAGTGATAATAAAGGAAGGAATTTCTTTAATTTTACCTAGGAATTGGAGGGTATATCATAAGGTAACCAATATAAAAGCTGCGAAAATGATTCATGTGAGATGACCTTGAAGGCGTGACAGATTTGCGTTTCATATTTCTAAAGCGTCATGTCATTCTATAGGCAACCAAACATAAACTCTTTAGCTATGAAGCAATATAAGAAATTAAGCATTAAAATACAATTCCAGACTAACAAAAACAAGAATATTAAAAGTTATTACTGCAAAAATTCAAATAGAAAACATAATTTTAACTTGCAGACATCAATAATTCCTGTTACTGCCGTCAGATGTCGCTTCTAGCAATATTTAACATACAGTATGGTTGTGTATCATTCGCTTGAGTTAATACAAATGTTTATTAATAGAATAGCAAATTATTGCACAATTAATAATAATATTACATTATAGTATGATTGTTGAGTTTGTTTCAAATTAATTGTAATTGTAGCTAACATTTTTTTGTTGTTTTTGCGTAGTTTTTCAAATTTATTTGCGTTATTCCTATGTTTTGTGGTGTGGTTTATCCAAATTCGCCATTTTACGTAAATCGCTCGACTGTCGTTTATTTGTTTGCCCATTTTTCTATTGTAATTGTGTGTATTTTGTCGTTTCGTTTAAATCTACGGCGATATTCGAATAAATGTTAAGAGTAATGAGTAAATTTACACGTGAATCAATGAAATGCATTCCTGGTACATACACATCTGTTTCTCTACCGGCGCGACGCCATTTTCACATAGCTACGTTTTGTTTTTTTCTTTGTTTACTTTTACGTTACTTTACTACTAAGTTTCGCCTCCTAATTCCGCAAACGTTCACAATTTGTCTTTTCAATGTTTCTAGCTAGATATAATTAACGAACGTTTTTCATTTTATCAATCCACCTTCGACTCCACTTACAAGTTTGTTGGTTATGTGTTTGTTGTCTTTTGTGTCTACGAATAAATGTGTGTGTGTTGGGTTGCCGCTCTATGTATACCGAGTGTTGGAAATCATTTTATATCATTTTCGATACTAAAATTTGCGATTGTCGGACCGACCTCATTAATACACGAGTAATTGCAATAAAATATAAAACTATATAGAAAACTATATCGTCTGTGTTTGGTTATGTAACTGTAGTGTTCACTTGTAATTACTTGTAAGTTCTAATAAGTGTAAACATTACTTGCGTGCTACAAAAACAATAACTTAAAAGCTACAAAATAAATTATCTACAATATGGCGGCAGTGTTCTTTTTTTACATTGTTTCATTGTTCCTAGGGTCACACTAGTCAGAAAAAGAACTTGAATTTAACCTAAAAAAAGTGCAAGTAATGTTTCATAACGTATCAAATGCGCATCGTGTAACAAAACACAATCGTACTTTTGTTACATATGGTAATAATTATGACACGTGTGTTCGTTAATTAATTGAATCCAATCGACTCAAACTGTTTTCAACTTGCTACGTTCGCTACTGAACTGAATCACCTAACGTTTCTCAAACATTTCTTAGCTTTTATTAAGGAATGGCTGAACACTATTTATGCGCGCGCATGTTGTCAATAACTTTTCACCCCTCGTAATCATATAGTTTCAACGATGTTAATTAAGTTGTTATACAATTTAAAACTTGCGCATTTGCTTTGGCGTGCAGTCGTGCAAGAGAGAGAAAGAGGCTCGGAAAACGTTGTTGTTATTTTTTTTTGTTTTGTTTGTTTCACTTTCGTTATAGATAATATTATTAAAGTACAAACATTACTTATCACTATGTATAGTAGCGTAGAGTAATTATAAATGTTTATCGTTCGTTTATCATGTTTTTCATGTTTTGCAGTTGACAAATCAAACGTTTAGGTTAGTACAGATTAAGGAAGCTTGCTACCGGTGGGCACTAAATGTGTCAAATATTTAGGTTATGCCGACTACGCTATCGTATCAAGCAATATTTGTTTGTTCAACTGTTTCCACACTCTGCTTTCTTCTCTTTTTTCAGTGTGTTAATATTTTGATATATAAAAACTTTTGTTTGGTATCCGATCCGAGTTGTTCCTCAATGAGTATAATAATCGTAGTTTTTATATCGCACGCTACGCAATGTACGATTGGTTAAGAGTTGAATTGAAGTTTATAATTGTATGCATTAAATGTTATGCATCGATATATTGATCGCACTCGTCATCGTCCGTTGTTTTCCTGTTTTAGTTTTTGCTATGCGCGTGCGCCACGCTCTCAGCTTACAGCTTAGATTAGACGTTAAGATTACACCATAATGCGAATAGTTAATTAGTAGTTAATTGTTAACTTACACGTGTATACGCTTCATATATGCGAATTAGAGGCAGGCTATGGCATGAATTGATTTCTAGGTTATCTTCTACTAGTACATAGTTCTAAGAAATGGTTATGTGAATGAATACATGTGTTGTGAATGGTGGGTATATTCTTGTGTTATAATGTCGATATCAAGTTGCAACAATTTCGAGACCGCGCACGTTTGTTGTTTTGTTTTTTTATCACAGACGCAATTGAGGAATGCATTTATCTTAAAATGTGTATGTGTATGCGAGTGTAGGTGTGATGTATGTACGTTTTATTCTCCTGTTGAGGACGTGCTTGTTGTTGTTTTGTTGTTGTTGGTGGTGTAGTTGTTCATTGTATGCAATTGATGCAAATTGATATTTTACCGTCGTAGAAATCAATTCAAACAGCGCATAATTGAGGTTATAGACAAAATGTAATATGTACGATGAAAGTGTGACGTAATGCGATGCAGTCGTTTGGTCCTAATCGATGAGACTTGATTAAAATTTAAGCAGTGATCGCGGATGAGCGTTTCTCCTCTAACATTTTGATTGCTTCCTTGCGCATTTCGTTTCAGCTTCAACTCAACGGCTACAGTTTATAACTCGCGTGAAGACATAACCTTAACGTTAACGTTACTTAGGTTGGTTTTTAGGGTGGGGGTTGGGGGTCATGTGTGGTGGTGGTGGTGGTGCGTCATCACAGCTTATCGGTGGAGGTGGAGAGCGCCGGGTCCGATTCGCTCTTGCGCGCAAAGCACAAGCAACCCGAGCTGTTCTTCAGCGCCGGCTTGAGCTCCCTGTCGCGCTCGACGAGACACTTCTGGTAGTAGTCGTAGTCCTTGAGGTACCACACCGGCGGCCACCTGTGCTCGATGAGGTAGGCCTGGTTGTCCGGATGGAGCAGGCGCAGGCTGCGCGGCGACATCCTGCACAGCTTGTTGTAGTTGACGCAGAGGTGATTCATGCAGAAGTCAGCGAGTTGGTGCGCGTTGTGCAGCTTGACAGGCTCCAGCAGCCGGAGGCACTGTTCGATGGCCTCGTTGGACGGCAGCCGTTCCAGGTCTTCAATCACGCGTCGCTCGACAAGCGCAACCAGACGCGGCAGGCAGAGACGATTGGCGAGCTCCATTAGATTTACACAACGTGCCGCCGCCACGGCGGGCACCTCATCGGTGTAGAGGAAGCACAACAGCTTGTGGAAGGTGTACTCGCGCACGCCAGGGAACTCAATCACCTTCGCCTGACCTTCACGAAAGTCCCCGCTGAACATGGCTTTCATCATATCGCAGCGACTAGCGAGTAGTGGTTTATGCGCTGCGCATCCGCCATCATCCAGTTCAAATATTACATCTGCGAAGAGTCCTTGATCCAAGCAGACATCTTGTAAACGACGCTTGAGGTGTTCTTCATGGGATTCTGGGGCGAATTCATTTGAAAGAAGAGAACCCAAGTGGGGAAGTTCCAATAACTCTGCTGTCCTTCTCAATTCCTACAAAAAATAATAAAATCACCTTTAAATTGATCCCCTGATGAAACATCAATAGACAATACCTGAATTTCTACCCCACGCCGATCCAAAGCACCAGTATACATAAACTGAAGACATTGTTGTAAAGACCCAGGTGTAACTAGTTTACTAAAAGTGATGACGGTTTGCCCATCAACAGTTTTGACAGAATGGAAAGCAGGATCCAACTCTCTGCCTGAAGATGGCAGCGCTTGACAACTAGCCCTTCTTTTGCACATCTTCTGTTCAGCTCTTACTAAACACTCAGTGTCGTCAGCAAACTCGCCAAGGGAACTAACCATACTGGAATCGGAAGTACTCCTTGCCATCAAATCAGCTGTTAGTAACCTGTACAACGCTGGACTGGCCGCAGCCAGGACAAATCTGTGCGCTGGGAACCCAACAGGTCCACTGACCAATAAAACATCCGCGTGGGCCCTATCAGTCCACAACTGCCTGGTGTTTTCGGCAAAAGTCGAAGTTGGATCCATAATTTCCGGTTTGGGTGGTGGAGGTGGTTTGAAAGGTGCTTGCAATAAAGGTCTTTGAACTTTCTTCAAGTTGGTCATCCAGAACCTCTGCTGTCTACGCGCCATCAACGCAGCTCTAATCGCATTCTCAAAGACTTCATTCACACCGTAATAAGTCAACACCGAGGTTTCATAATAGTACAACCCCAGTTCCCTGGCAACATCCCTCGCTTCATCCGGCATAACCAAATCAGACTTCCGGGTCGCCCGCACAAATGGACTACGATCCCGGAAGTAAGACAGATACGCCTCATCACGATACATGTACCGCAGGTCATTCTTACACCCGACGAGCAATACCGGTGTGCTGGGACAAAATCGTCGGATTTCCGGATACCACATCAGGCGGCAGTTGCGCAGGGAGACCGGGTTGTTGATGCTAAAGCATAACAGCACGACGTCTGAGCGGCCGTACGCAAAGCGGCGGTCCTTCTCGTGATCCCCGAACGTGTCCCACAAGCGCAGCGAGACGGACACATTGTCCACCACCTCCCAGCTGCGCTCGAGGACATCCTTGTAGATGCGGTACTGATCTATCGCCCATACCGTCGGCACGTGTGTCGCCAGCAGCTGCGCTAGCGACACCTGCTTGTTGCATGCGCGTGCGCATATCAAGCGTGTCTTGCCCACGGCCGTGTCGCCCACGACCACGCACTTGACCAGCTCCTGGTGGGGCTGTTCATTGTCCATCCCCCATCACACGCCGTCGCTGGCAACCTGCAAAACACACAACACATTCAGTTGCAACCGGTTTGTATTGGTTGATGGAAGAAATTAATTTTGTTGATTAAGTTATGTGTGTTTATTGCCATGCCGATAAAATTGGCATTGCTCGCGAAGATACCAGTAACTACCGGATATTTTATCAGCTCGATTGCGCGCTTGCTGCGTCGTTGTTAATTAAACCTCCGTTAGAGATGGTAACTACATCAAAATGTCAATCAAAATGACCGCGGTAATTGTCTTGAATTAGTTTTCGCTTAAAATTCGAATGTTTTGCAAACATTCGCTTCCGAATGACGTGCTAGTCACAAATGTTTGCCGTAGACCTACATCTAGATGAGCTGTTTTGCATTTGTTTGATCTGAATCTGGTCGGAATGTAAACTGAATTTTAAATCTGTCCGCAGCTACGCAGTTTATTAACTTGTTGAACAAGAAATTCGTTCAAGCATTCGTCGATTGTTTGTGTGAAAATCCCATTCGAGCGTCACTGATAATTGTTTGTTTTTCACTTTATCTAACCTGCTAGTGATAACAAACAGGAAGATTTCACGTTTGGATTTCAGTTTCCGAGGAAGGTCATACGCGGCACTAACGACGCGGAATAAACAACTTAGCTGGAGTTGACTCAAGTTATATATTAACTTAATTTATAGCACCGCAACAACTTAATGTGTTGATCAAAAGTTTTTCCGAGGAAATAAAATTGATGTGGAATTAACTGCGCTACATTTTAAACATTTTATCTCTTACACATGTTGGGCTTTAAGTAGAGAGGAAGTGCGAGTTATTGAGTTCATTGTGTTTAAACAATGCAAATTCAATCATGTCAGGTTATTTCGAGACGCGTTTAATGCGCACTGTGATGCACTCGCATTGGCGAGGATTCAACGAAACATTGACCTTTCTTTGCGCTCTGCGCACGTTTTTTCACACGAATTCGAGCACACTTTATTTATTATTAGATTGGTCATGTTTCTACAAGGACAAGCAATGATAGAACTAACAAGAAAAGAAAAAGCATTGATTAAATTAAAGCTTATTAAACATTTTGGTATTTCGTGTAGTGTTGGTTGCATACATTGACTTTAAACAACTTTTGTGTGTATTGCGCATGCGTGAGTTTAAATTACTGCGTCCCAGGATAAATGCTGGCGCAAATATTTTGAATATTGAGTAAAAAATTAAAGATGCAGAATATTTTTGAAATGTAAATGTTTCTGTTAGTACGTACGCAAGCTGAATTTAAAGATATAAAATCTATTTTTAAAACAACATTTGCACATTTCAATGTTTCGCCTAATGTAATACTTAACGCTTCTGTGTATATATAATCGTGCGCAACCGGAATCAATTAAACAATTCAACATGCGAGAAAAAATACGTACTTTTATATCTACGTAAATTCAACTAACCAAAAACGTATAGTTTTATATTAATTGATTCTTTGTTCAGGTTTGTGTTAATTGTCTAATCGTCAAATGAATTAACGCTTAATTTTAATATGTCTGCGCCTAGAAACACGTCCATTAGTAAGTATTATATTTGCTCTCGGTTCTCATGATCTGCATACGCGTTTAATCAATTAATCAAACGAATGCTAATTATTATACAATCATAATAGACACTTTTTATTAATCTCGCAAAGTGCAGTTATTCTGCTAGTAATTTAATACAACTTGCAACTTGCAACAAAGTAAGCGTTTGTCAGTTTGTGGTCAAAGTTGCATTTGTCATGGAGTTGTTTTGTATAATTAATGGAATGGTCTTAAGCGTTGCAAGCGAATAAAATAGCTATAAATAGACGTATGTTAAATAAACATTGGCAATGATTAAATATATGCACATACGATCATCGCATATATAACAAAGTAAGCGTCGTAAAAACAATCGCTATGGTGAAAATTACAAACATAGAATTATTTTCATGAATTACAAATTAAAATTTATCGTTTCTGGAAACAAGTGATCTAAAAAAATGTCTAAAAAAGGCATAAAAATTTTAATTTTCTTAATCCTCAGCCTCTTTTGATAACGCAATGCATTATTGTTGTTATAAATTTCAAGTAGAACTAATTACAATTAAATTATGATACATTTTACGTTTACTTACTCAAAATTTTTGTTTTTATAAAAAATATAAAAACACTGCACGCCTGTTTTTCTGATACGCAGTGCGTAATTTTTGTTTTCGCCACTTTTACTCTCAACGCAAACTCGCGGCTGTATTTGTCGAGAGGCGGCTCAACTCAACACGTTGTCCTGTCGTCGAATTCAGTGTAAATGTGCTCAGCACGTCCCGATGCGACAACACATCACCGCAGTAGCACTGCTGCTCACAATCGCGCAAACTGTTTGCGTTTCGCATTACAATCACGCCCTCGAGACAATTAATGCAAAATGATGCCAACTGAATCACTACGATGGAAAACAATGCGAAAAGAAGCAAGATAAATGTCAACAATTGCCACTAACACTAAATATTAATACGTATTTAGTAGGAACGTAGTCGGGTGTAAAGTTGGCACAGAAATATAACTTGTTTATAACTAATGTTTAACATAAAAAACGTAACGAATGAAAATCTAGCTACTGGCGAGCTATCACGACGACAACCAGCTCGGTTGGCGGACGCGCGATGTGTGAGCGGGCACGAGGCAGCAGGAGTGCAGGAATACGTTGCGAATGCGCGAATTTGCTGCTTACCACTTCTCGATGCCGCGACCGTACGCAACGTGACGATCCTCGCGGAGTCGAGGCATCTGTTAGTCACGGAAACACTAATCACACATTCACAGGCAAAATTTAATTCATGGAAACGGTAGGTGCGTGTTGCAGCTTCTAGAAGAGATATATATATATATTAAGCTATCTCATTGTTTATTCTGAATTTTAACAGTTTTATAGGTATTAGAAGCTTGTCAAACGTCAAAGAAGTGAGATAGATTGAAGTGTGAGGCAAAGTAGGCAACACGCAACACGTTATGAGGGCAGCCTAGGTATCAAAATTTTAACTTTTATGGTTACTTTCGTAACAAAACATAGTAACATAAAATATATTTACTAAAATGTTTAAAACACATAAAATGCACATTTTTCTTTTAAAATAATGCAAGTTTTGTCAAATATTAAAGATAATATTAACGAATAGCGAGTAAAACTAAAAATAAATCAATATATCTAGTCCCCATACTTCTTATAAGAGTGTCAAACGTCAAAAAAGTGAATACGAATAAATTGAAGTGTAAGGTAAACTAGGCAACTCAAAATACATCATAAGGAAAAGCCTAAATATCAAATTTTTAACTTTTAAGGTAAATTTACTAGCGAATCATTGTGAGACAAAAAATATCCACTAAAATTTGTTACAAACACTAAAATAAACATTTTTCTTTAAAAACAAAGTATGATTTGTCAATTGTTAAAGAAAATATAAAAGAATAACGCGTAAAAAGAAAAAAAAACATAATAACTTGTCGCCATACTTGTCACCCTAACTTTTTCAATACTCGTGACAACAAAAACTGAAACATTGAAACAAACTTTTACATTCAGCAATAATACATAGAATTAATCACATCGGATTAATCCTACACTTCATACACGCTGGGCGTCTGCACGCCTCTGATTAACAACAACGTATTGTAACGCCGCCGATATTAATCTGCTCCAAGGAGCGTGCAAAGACCGCGAGGTTCATTGCCTTTTCGCACATTACTCTCATATTCACATCGCGATGCGTAGACGTGCATTATCGCCTGTGCAAACTGCCTCTGTTCAGTAGGCTTCAATACTAACTAGTACTTCACTCACTCGAATTCAGTGCGATCCGCTTAGCGCCATCACCGACTAAATATAAACAAAACAATATTCCTTTGTGTGCTACACCCAATTGCATTCAAGTGAGTAACATGAGAGCGGCGGCCATTTTGTGGAGCCACTTGATGAAAGACTATTTATAAACAAACACACAAAGAGACACTACTTGCACTTTGTCGCCATGCATCGAGTTAACAAACTTGTTTATTAGTAACAACAAAACAGACGCATTGATAAACATACAATAGTTCATTGATATGATAAGAAAATATAAAAAACTAGCATTTGCCCGCGACTTCGTCCCCGTAGTGTTTTATAAAAATGGAATTTATTTTTACTCTCTTGTTCTAGACATAATATGTGTCAATTCTATAAATATGATTTCCAATTTTATTTTAAAGAAATTAATTATATAAAGTTTTGCTAATAATGCACTACAGCGCGCCATCTCAGATTCAACTATTTAACTATAACTATGATTGAATCTCAATGCCAACTCAATCCTATAGAAATGGGCTGTTTTTAGGGTTTTCCCGTCAATTATTCAAATTTTTCTCGCCGTAAAAACCATCCTTGAACTTAAACAAACATTTAAAAATAAGAATTAGCCAAATAGGTCTACGCGTTTTTGAGTTATGCGCTTACCAACAGATTTTTCGATTAATTTTTATATTATAGTGATAGATAATGCAATAAGTAACTTAGAAATGCAAAAAATGTTGAAATTAATTGAAATCATTAGTAATACTGTTAGTAAAGATCTTGCAACCCTCTCAAGCTAAGGGTTGATGAGTGAATGTACGAATAATTAAGTTATAGTGCGTCGTGGTCATGCACTCTCGCATTCGCATTCACTTATCAGCGTTTTTGCGCGTCCGACGCGTCGGCCATGATGGAATAAATTCAGTTCGTTAGCATCTTCTCAACGCCGGCAATAAATAACACATCTTTGTCTTAAATCAACCCGAGTGAGTGGAGTATTTACTCTTTGCGTTTAATTTTAACCGCAACATGGCGGACAACAAAGTTTTAAGTGTTTCATTCAATGGCGGAGTTATTTTTAAATCGTTTTGTTTTCGGCGGCTTCTTGCGCGAATTTTTAAACTGTTTTTATGAGTTTTTTGTCCTGTGTTGGGGCAAGTCCAGTTCGTTTTTATGGCGGTGATTATATTGAAGTTTAGTGGACCGTGACCGTGACCACGACGCGGTTAATTCACTTTTATTTTTTATGGTCACATCCCAAGCAATTTCCGACGGCGCGGTTGTTTAAATTTGTCTGTTGTGTCTTGGACTTTAATAAGCAACACACGCTGACGTGAAATTCATCATTTTACAATTAATATACACAAAAAATATGTTTTTAGAAGTAGAATTAGTTTATTTGAGTATTTAAATGATGGAAAATTTTATGTCGTCCACATTTGTTGTTTAGCACGACGTGCTTCATTGACACATGGAGGCTGGTCAATTTTAACCAATTGTAAGCCGTTTAACACGGCAAAACAAAATTCTGTACGTTATTGTCGAAAGATTATTGCCCAATTATGACCTAATATTACGCGAAAATAACGTAAAACAAATATTTATCACGTGAAATGCTCGTTATCGACGAAAACAGATCTAACTTCCAGAAATATCATAATAAAATGAAGGTAAATTCTAACCTATACGCAATTTTTAGGTTATATGTATGTGGTAAGTGTGGTGAGTTATGATAGATAATATCATGCAACCATGTCATCAGTTTCGTATCGTCCGTCCTTCCGCCATTCATTGATTGCACTCGCGTGAACGACGACTGTGAAGTTTATTTATAGACGTGAAATTACTTCGGGCTTTCAGGCCTATTGAGAGGTGAGCGGGGAAATAACTGGATGGTGCATGGTAGCCATACTTTTAAAGCAATTATTTTTTTGTGTGAAAATGTACAAAAACAAGTTTAATCGTTAGAATTTAAAGGTTTAAAACAATGTGTACATTTTTGAGATAAGAATATAATGTTTTATGAAGTAATAAATAGTTTTTTAAAAATATGTAAGTAATAAATAACACATTGTATTTGAACACATTGTATTCAGATCACATTCTCACAATGCATTCACTTTGTGATAGGCAACCAAGTTAACAAATAAAATTTATTTCCGATGGATTAGTCACTGTGTAATTTCTAGAATCAATCTAACTTTGAATTATCAGCAAATCAGAACTTCTCTGAATTTATTACTGCTTATTCCTAGTATTTAAACAAATAATATGGCATTAATAAATTAACATTTCGATGAATTTTGCTTGTATCCTGTGTATACTTGCATACTATGTGTTTTAAAAATATAAATAATGAACGCCTTGTATGGCAAATGGTAATGATAACTATAATGATTGTTGTGAGGAGCTGCGGACGTACGTAAACGAAAGTTATTACATTAACACGATAAATATTAACAGGGACGAATTGATGCGCTTTTATAAATTGTCGCCACACGCCAACAAACGCAATCAACCGAAATTATTGCATTAAGTTACATTATATAGTAAATGCATATATCATTTAGTCGTGTGTACGTTTTAATTTTAAATAAGTGAGAGTTTAGGGTAAAATAACATAGAATTTAGTCAAATTTTGATAAATACTTTAGATAAAAAATTGAATAATCTATAATATAAAAATGAATCACAAAATCTGTTGGTAAGCGCATAACTCAACAACGCTAGGACCAATTTTGCCAATTCTTTTATTAAAATGTTCGTTAAAGTTCAAGGATGGTTTTTACGGCGCGAAAAATTCGAATAATTGCCGGGAATACCCTAAAGACAACCCTTTTCTATAGGATAAAAGTTGGTATTGAGATTCAATCATTGTTATAGTTAAATAGTTGAATCCGAAATGGCGCGTTGAAGTGCATTATTAGCAATTCATTATATAATTAATTTCTTTAAAATAAAATGGCGAATCTTATTGATAGAATTGACACCTACTATGTCTAAAATAAGAGAGTAAAAACAAATTACATTTTTACAAGAGCTAGTACATTATACAAATAATATTTGATAACAAAACTTTGAAAGAAATTTATATTAAGCGACAATAAATGTTTATCATGACACGTAACCGCCGTAGATAATTTAAATTCTAGTTAGAATTGATTTGAAACAATGTAGAAACATGTCATGCAACAAATGCCGTAATTATGATAATTCCAATTCACTGCAAACATTTCCACTTTATTCTATTGCATATTGAACGATTTAAAGCAAGTTTTGACTACAAATCGATTTAAAGAATTGATTTTTATAAAAAAAATAAAAAAGAACAGCAAATGCATTCTATTTGAACTTTAATACTTTAATATTTAAATTATATATATATTTCTATTACGCTTACATTAACTGCCTCATTAATATGTACTCCCAAGACCGAAAATCACGTAAGTAACGATTTTGTTCGACGCTCGAAACGTCGAAACCTTGACACGACTCTCGGCTGACTGCAGGGGTGGCAACTACACACAGAAAATAAAAGGAAAATCGAAATCCAGCACGGAACTGCCGTCAGCAGACATCATCAATGGAAATTTCAGCCCCGAACGTGTGAATAACTCACCCCTGACTTAACAACTAATCGTGAACACGCTGAATAAATGTAACTACATACGAATCAAGCGCAAAAAGTAATAGAAAACGTAAGAAATAAATTCTAGTTTTGGAACAAATCGGAAGTTGCGTGAAACTCAACATAAAACATAAAACACGCTAATTAAAAGAAAAATAAACTTTTTACTGCTTTAGTTTTGCTGGTATATTGATTAAAGCGCATAAAACTACAAAGCAGTAGCCTACGCAGTTAGTTTTACGCGTTACATGTCGCCCGCAACAACAACAACAATAGAATGGCGTTGCAATGTTGTTCGTTAAACGACGTTTAAACACAACGCGCATTAGTCATGACCTTGACACTGCTCCGACTATAATAGACAATAACAACCCGTCACGACAAAACACAAATCAGCTGATCTTTATACACCAGCACGTCGATTAAACCTTCAACGAAATAATTAACAAATTTCAATCATTTTCATTTTACTATCTGAATAATTCATCACACAAAAAAAAACAGAAAAAAAAACAGGAACTGAATGTAATTATTGACATAAACTACTTTTGCTTGTGTTTTGTGTTTGCTTTTTATTTCATCCATAAAAAAACATTTTTCTTTGTTTTTATTGTTTTATGAGGAATTTATTATTCATTGGCGGAAAAACCTGCCTCAACAAAGGAATTTTATGATTAAATTCATTAATATTCATTATTTTCGCTGTGTTTAAAAGAATAAATAAGGAATTCTATTTCGTAGGTCATGATGTTGAGGTGTTGCAATGGGCGTATTAAGTGAGGTTAGGATCCGTGACACTCACACGCGCGGCGCGACTGCGTCACGGCGTCACAGGACGAAAAAAACCGATGCACGCTCAATTCGACGCATAAAACACACACACACGACGCCAATCGAAAGGAATGAATTATTAGATTGTTAGCATGAAAAGTGTGTGATACATGTATGCGGTACTCACATTCATCGGCTTCGTAGCGCGGCGTGAACGAGCATTATCCTCGACGTCGATCCTTGCAGGACGACGCAAAACGATGCGCGGATTTGAAGTGCGGATTCGTGCAGAATTCGATTTTCACCTGCACACACCTCACACGCAATAATAACAACAACAACAACAACAACACACAACACACACGATGATCTTCTTCGATCGTGTTCTGTTTTAATTGTTTGTTTGTTTTAAGTGAACAGCTTTTGTTAGCACACACCGACGAGAGAGTCTTTTGTTTTCGATTGGTTAGGATACGACTCGTGTGTGTATGAATGTGTGTGTGTGTGTCTTTTTTTTTGTTTATCCGTACGAGATGGCGGCTGGCTCTCTCGAGTCTCGCGGAAATGGAAATGGCGGAGAGGAGGTAGTCGAGCGGCGAGCGGCGGCGGCGAGCGCACGGTGCAACTGAGCCGAGCTCTGCTGCTGGCTGCGCTTGCTGCTGCGCCTCTCTCCTCGGTCGGGTCGGCGTCGACGGCGACGGCTGCGGCGAAACTGAATGAATTCGATCCATTCTGACGAAAGCAAAATTGCCGCCCGTGCCGCCCCGCGAACGCGAAACGCAAGCCGCCAAGGCTATATATATACGCGCTCACGTCGGTTGAAGGAAAAAAAAAACCGACGCACACAGTTTGTCCTGTAGGTGTTGCTAATTTTATCCTCAAATTACGAATTTACGAATTTTCAGGCTGCATTTTCATAGAAAAATCCAAAATATCGACAGAAAATAAAAATAAAAATTATTTAATATCATATTTATAAGTTAAATCATAAATTAACCTGAAAATATGCAATTTTTTTATTATTTTAAGGTTGTAGAACCTGTATTTTATAGAAAAATACTTAATACTAAATACTTTTAGGTAAAAATACTAAAATAACTTCAAAATATACAAATTGATTATTATTTTAAGGTTAAAACACCTTTATTTCATAGAAATATACTTAAAATTGTCAAAAAACATAATATTTTTAGGTTAAAATACTAAAATAAGCTCAAAATATGCTTATTTTAAGGTTAAAAAATCAAAAACTTACTTTTTTCAAAATGGCCACCATTGATTTCCTACCCTATAACAGTTTCACGACTCAAAGTAGCACTAAAACACGAATTCCTTATTCGTTTTCATTACCAGGAAAAGTAAACATCGATAAAAGTGAAATAAACTAGGTGCGTGTGTCATGATATGCGGTTGGCGGCTGATTATCGTCGAACGATTACTTCTAAAATTATTTTTTCTTATCGATATACAGCCAGAAGTTTTCAGTTTTTATATTCGTAGTTTCCTTATTTATTGGTTTCGTGACCTGTGTGACGTATTAGCGTGTGTTTTCCGGGAAAACGTATAAAAGTAAAACTGCACCTTTGCCGCGTCACGAACCAAAGGTGTAAGAAAAAAATTGCACCGACTGCACGAGAATGAGATGTTGAAACACGTTGAAAATTCCAAGCCAGGCTCATAAAACAGCCATCGAGAATGGGGAGCATAAAAGAAAATGCAGGAAAACGCAAGAAAATGCCGCAGACCTATAAAAATGTCGGCTTTATTATGCCGGCCATTTTTCACATGCATAGATTATGTACCTGTACATAATTAATATACACGATGTTTAAAGTTGAAATTTAATTGTTTTTTGAGTTGGTATTATGTTTGGGTGTGTATTTGGTTGCCTAAATTTTGGAATTTACCTATTGCAACTTTGGCAACTAGTGGGGTTATAAATTAGGAAGGAAGTGAAAATGAAAATGAAGCTGTTGCTGTCTTGGGCTAGGCTAAGCGAAAGCGACTTGAGCAGCCGCCCCTTCAGATGCTCCTCTCGGTGGTGGCTGCTGCCTGGCTGGCGCGGATTGATTTTTCCGAGAGAGCGGCGCGCGCGTGACGTCAGCGCCCGTTCGGGGTCGGCGAGAGTTCATTCGGGAGATTGAACCCGTGCCGCCTCCACACCGCAGCCGCCACCCGACCATACACAACATATAATCACGGATGCAGTCAAGATACATACATAAATAAATATTTGATTTCGTTGCCTTAAAAACTACAAGCAAAAAAATGAAAAAAATTAATTTTTTCTATTTTGAATTTAATATTAGTCGGGTAGCAATAGCTGGATGTTAAGTTGCATAAACTAGTATTTGACTACATGCTGGCTTGTCTGACTTACCGTTAACATGTGTGTTTTGCATTCAAATGCCTCCTGTCGCAATGGTCACAATCGTCGCTGATGTCCTGGACGTCGCCGACACAAAATGGCGAAATAATAATCCAAGCGGATCCCTTCGCAATTGCCACTTTGGACGGCGCTCATCGCTGTCTTTACGGCGCTCGAGGGAACGCTTTGCCATTTCTATTTCGCACTTATGGTTTTTCATCTCACGTCGCCGTCACTTTCGTTCTTTTATCCTGTTCAGTGCGTTTCTACCATTCTAACTACACGTCGACACTTTGCCAAACTACAATAAACAATAAACGAACAAAAAATGTAATCAGAGTTACTAAAAGGATAGAAAGGGGGAGTTTATAGAGAAGAGGCAAGCCTATGCTGTTTTTGACTTAAAATCACATTGTTTTCGAGCTTCTTTCGAACTCTTTTATACAGATTATGAGTTTTTTGAATGTGCTCCAAGATAACCATCAAAACTTACTATAATTCTAATTTTTTAACTTTTTGGCATAGCAAACATTCCGTATATCAAGTTTTACTAGAAAAATGTGTTGTTCCTCTTTGTCAAGTCTATTTACATTTAATTGTAATTATAATAACCTCATACTACATTCCAACATTACGGCGCCTCCACCAACCAGCTCCAACTATTTGATTTTAAAAATTTTAAATATTTGCGACATTAAGTGAACATTTAAGTTTATTGAAAATTTAAAAAATAAAATGTTTTAATTTTATAGTAGATAATAGTAGATTTCTGCTTGACTTTTATAATTTTAAAACAAATTTTAATGTTGAAGCATAATATAAGTATTATTACTGTAATATAGGCAACTTAATATACAAGAATGTCAAACAATGATCACAAAAAAAACTTGTTTGAAAACTAAAATAAAAACAATTACTCTGTTATTATAACTACTAGCAATATTTATCTAGACAAATATATTTAAAATTTAATAAACTAACAATTAACTTAGTATGGTATATTTGAAAAGTCTAGAACGTGGCTTTAAGATTTGTCATTCAAAAGCACATTTTAAAGCTTCGCATGCGTTGGTTTGTTGGCCCACGTGTTGTAGCATGTAGCCAATTTGTATCCGCTGCAAACCACACAAAACAAAATATAACATTGTCAATTGTACACTAAGCTACGTATATACTTATATAGTTAGTGTGATATTAATTCTCTGCTCTTCAATACGTTTTTTATTTATGAATCGCCTCGACTTGGTCTTCTGGAACAACATTCCTGAACCTAACCACAAACATGTCGAACTCGGACAGCGATTTTGAGCCCCCGAAGATTACCAGCACGCAGATGTCACCCAAAAAGGTGAATCCACTGGATAAGCATGCCTTTGAAAACAAACTAAAAGGTATGAACATCAATAATTTGCTTAGATCCAAGGCGATGGCGATAGCAAAAAACAATGCATCTGGTTTAAACCCAATGAGGCCCAATTTTCCTCCGATGATAAAGAAAAAACTTATGGACGACGAACGAGACTCGAGTTATTACAGTTCGAACGATGGAAAGAAGAATAAACCTAGCGATTCTTCCAGCTCTAGTGATGCTGACAGTGAGAGTGAAGCCAGTGATACTTCGAAGAGTAAAAACAAGAAGAAATCAGGGAAGAATAGTAATACATCATCTGATGGTGGGACTAGTTCTGATGAGAAGAAATCACAGAGTTCCAGCTCAAGCCAAATGTCTGATAGCTCAATGAAGAGAAAGAAAAAAGTGAAAAAAGGCTTGAATAAGAACTGTTCAAAAGAGAGGATATCTTCATCATCTAGTGAGGAAGCATCTGACTCAGAGCTTGAAGTAAAAACACAAAAACAAGTAAAAAGTCCAAATAATTCAAAAGTTAAGGTGTTATCAAATATTGTAATCAATAAACAATCACCAACTGCCAATACAAAATCTAAAAAGAAGGAGTCAAGCAGCAGTAGTGGTAGTAGTAGCTCAGAGGATGAGAAAAAGTCTTCAGGAAGCTCTACTAATGATTCATCAAGTGAAGATGAAACCAAAAAAGCTCCTAACAAATCAAAATCAGGTACATTTTGAATCCTGTTGTAGTAAATATATTGTTAAAACATTTTCATTTACATTTTCAGGCAAAGAATCATCTTCATCAGGATCAGGCTCTTCTTCAAGCGCATCGAAGTCATCATCATCGTCATCAGGCAGTGGTTCATCAAGCAGTAGTAGTGAAGAAGAAGAAGATAAACGAACGAAACAAACACGTTCGGCACGATCAAGCACTGACGATGATTCCGATTCTGACGCGCCACACGCAACACTCAATAAAACAAATTATATCCCATCGAAAAGGTCGGATAAAATTCTTGCTGATTATATAGAAATAAACCAACTGGAAGCAGTGCCTATTGAGGAAGCCTTTGATTTAGGCAGTATTTCCGATGACGATGAACTATTTTTCGTTAATGTTGCAAAAGATATTGACCCAGCTTCATTGGTTAATACAAAACTATCATTAGAAAGAAAGCAGAATATAATACTAAATAAAGATAGCAAGGATGGTAAACAGAATTGTCTGGTTGAATTTGATAAAGGTGATAGGGAGAAGTTGTGTGTATTGGGTAAAATGTCTGGAGAGTTTGGTATAAGACTTTTACAAACTAGTGGGTCGATTACTGTAAATAAAAATCATAAGATAGAGACTGAAAAACAGGCGAATACTGAGTCTGTGCAGAAAGGGAAGTTTCCTTTCCCTAATGATAAATTACGGACAAGGCATCCGCTCTTCGGAAGAAATTACGAAACGAAAATTGTGTTGGATGAAACTGTTTCTAAGAAATTAGATGATTTGATTGTAGAAATGGCGAATAAAAGTAGCCATGAAGGAGATGATGAAGATTTACCAGATGGTAAAGTATCAAAAGATACAAAAGAAATTAAAAAGTCTAAAAAGAAGAAGAAAAAGGAAGAAAATGAGTCTGTCGTTGAAAGCATCGAGTTATCATCTGATAAGAAGAAGAAAAAGAAAAAAGATGAAAAAATGGACATAGCTTCAATTTTGACTTCCTTTGGAGATGATAATAACATAAAAGACAAAAAGGATAAGAAAAAGAAGAAGGAAAAGAAGGATAAAGACGCTAAATCTGTAATGGAAAAGATGTCATTCGAAGAAGTTAAGACCGAGGAGTCGCCTGTAAAGAAGAAAAAAGAAAAATCTAAATCCAAATCACCACTAAAGGAAGTTGTTACTCCTAAGTCTGAAACAAAAGAGAAAAAATCTAGAAAATCGCGATCCCCATCGAAGAACACACCAGACCAATCTATACTTAAAGATTCTTCAAATAATGAATCAAAAAGGAAGTCTACACTTGAAGATTCAGGAGATAATTTTAAAGTTCCACCACTATCAATGCCTATAAATCCAAAAATGAGTAAACTTATGAGCAGCACAATGTGTAGTCCTAGTATTCACAAAGCTTTATTATTCGAACCCAACGAGAGCGTGATTGGTACTTCAGAGAAGAAGAAAAAGAAGAAAAACAAGACGAAAGATAGAGACTCTTCAATTGAACCAATCGGTGATAAGACTATAATGAATCTTGTTGACCAATCACTGAAATCACCGATATCTTCGAAGCCTTCAAACGAAAAGAAGAAGAAAAGAGATAAGACGAAAGACAATAGTGTTTCAGAATCAACTGAAGAACCTGCTAAAAAATCGAAAAAATCCCCAAAGAAACAAGTTGAAGAAACAGAGGATGAAAAGAAAAGACGTAAGCGGAGACATAGTGAAACCCAGGCTGAAGCAGCAAAAGTAGAAGAAAAGAAGAAAGAAAAACAAGCGAAGATTAAAAAGAGGAGGCCTACAATGTTTTGAATTGTACATGCATTAAAAAATATGATTAGTTTAAAAGATATCGTGTGAAATGAAGAATTTGATTTGATATGAATAAATTGTTACGATTATGGGATAGATTTGTGTAGAAACACTGAAATATAACATATATCACGAAATTTCAAATATATTTCGAATGAAAAGTTAAGAAAACTCAAGAGAAAACAATACGCCTTAGATAATACAATCCTGAACGCAACCAGTGTTTAAAAAAGCTGCGCGCTTACATTCGTCTTTGCCACTTCTTAAAATCAATCAATCAATCAGCATCATCTTTAAATACTTAACATAAATCAGTTAATTTCAGCACTAGCTAACAGACTAATGAATACTACATTGGCTTTTCATAGGAATTATCAATCACAACTATTATAGCGGATTCAATGCAAGTAATAACAATACACAATTGTTGATGCTTAATTATTTCGCATTGGGATATTTAAATCAATTCATTCGATAATATATCCCTTCAATTGCTTCAAATTTCAACTATGACAATTTGAATTACGATATTTAAATGTAATCTTTGCATTGGCGATGATTAGCGTTTTACTAATGCTTAACTAGAGTACATACTTGATAAATACGTCTGCGTCCGGCCAAAAATACAGCTCTCATCTCCACTAGTCAAAGGCGCATTGATAACTGGATTCACATCACTTCTATGCGTTCTTAGACTAACACTATTTACATTTTTTATATACATTTCTTTGTTTACATGTTTGCGCACAATCGAAACGGCTTGTTCACATTGTGGAAGGTTAACCGTATCGAAAAATGTGAAACAAATAAATACACGTTGACGAAACTTAACATGCACGTACACAAAAGAAAACGATTGAAAGAGAATAAATTATTACGAATAATTTCGATACATCCCTGTACGTCACAAACTGATACTTTTACTTTAAAACAGAATTTTCTTACGTATGTTAATATGTTATGACGTTATGATAAACGAATCACAGCTGATGACTTTATCTACTTGCTTTAAGTGTTTAGTTTAAAGTTTAAATCTTAGATGATAGGTAGTGTTGCATGACTTGAACTCTTGAATTATTAAAATATCTGCTGGGTTGTTGGAGTGCACCAATTGTTATATCTATTTCAATATAGAATCGTGCACAATTCTGTTACTTTAACGTTTTTTTTTCCCCTCTTTTTATCTTGGAGCAACCAATTGAACAAATGAACTCTACTGAAAGTAGCATTCATTGACAATTTAAAATGTATCTGTTTCTGCCTGCAGGAGATTATCATTATCATCCAATTGTGGCGCACTATTTAAAAGATCTTATTCATTATAAGATATTTTCAATTCAATTACCTATTTTTATCCGTATCGTTCAGTTTTAAGTTATTACCGCATGTTTAAAATAATCCGCCTTTGCGACCGAATAGTAGCGAGCTGAGTGTGCCCAACGAACTGGTCTGCTCCTCCACGACGGGTTTCTTGGCAACGGTGCCTAGATCAGGGCGGGTTTGACCGCCTCCGGCCTGCTGTCGTCGTTGCTTGCGTGCGTTTAACTGCTCCAGGCGTTTTTGCAATGAGTCGCTGCCGGGCTTGCCAGGAATGCCCATTGATGTCATCGGAAGTACTAAAAACAAAATGAAAATAGAATGCAACGTAATACTAAAGATAAAGTAAACAAACCTGGTTTAATTTCTTCTTTCGTGGGTGATAACCCATCGTTGTGACTGTGTGCGGACGACGCCAAGTTCTCGGCACTGTTGCTGGGCAGTAGACAGGTCAACTGCGCCATTGGACTAGTCAGGGCTGGTCTGGCATACATCCCTGCCGTGAGGGTAAGAGCACTGGGCGAACTCATGATATTCGTCAGACCCATCCTCTCAATACGACCCACGAGATTCTAAACAAGATATTGTTGTTTGTAAAATTCAATTCGAAGGTGGTAAACTCTAAAAATAACTTACTTTATCAGTTCTGTTCCTCCGTGAAGCACCTTTCGTCTCCTTAACCGAAGGCACCTTCTTTTTGACTCCACCTCCAATCGACTGTTGAACAAACTCAGGCATGGAGCTCATAATCAACTGTTGTATCCCTCCGAACATATCATACGGCTCTGGCGAGCTACTTCTCGACCTATCAGGTGATCCCAAAGGACTGTTGCAGGGTGTAGCTGTAGGTGTAAAACTATTCGGTCCCGCGGGTGTGTTTACCGCCGAAGGCGTCACAGCTTTGATTCCGCGCTCATTCAACATCTTCGCCAGCCCAAAAGTAGTGCTGAATGTCGAACATGAATTTCGTCGTGACATGCCACGTGGGGTTTGTGGTGGAGAATTCTGCACACTTGAGCATACCGAAGTCATTCGACTGCTCATATTACTAGGGGTCATCAGTGTACCATCATCCGGATGCATGACTGTGCTATTGGTCAACGTGTAAACCGGCGCTGAAGAATCGAAGATTTTCCTGGGTTGGAATACTCGTCATCTTCTTCTAGATCACTCAATCCATACGTCTCCAAACCAATGTCTTCCAATTCTTTACCACCCTTAATTTTCACACCAGGGCGTTCATCTAACAAACCACCGAATGTTGGTTGTGCTAGTTGTGCCCATTGGTGTAAAGTCTGCGAGCCTTCCATTGGTTTAACAATTTGAAGTTTTTCCGGAAGTCGCCATTGTGTATATGGCATAGAACCAGTAGACATGAGTGAATCAGGTGTGCGACACCCATAAGGTAAAAAGACATCAGACTCATATCCGGAAAACCCACCGCCATGTTGTAAATTCGCACGGCGTGCCAGCACCTCCGCTGGGGTTAATCTTTTCAAAGCGGCTTCCAAATCCGCAGCACCAGGAACTCCTGGAACACCAGGTTGTGGTGGTGCAGGGTAATCTGAATCGGAATCAGACGTCTGACTAGATTCGTTGTCCGACTGCCCGGTGCTATCCAAACTAGGATAACCCAAACTGCTACTGCTGTAGATAGAACCAGAGGATCTGCGGTCAAACGCATTTTGTGTTTTGACACTCATACGAGGCCCGCTTGTAAGTGCCATTGATGAACTAACGTAACCACCAACACCGCCTATACCTGAAGAACCCAAACTGCTCATACTTTCACCGCTGCTTAGGGAATTAGCTGATGCACAACGCACAGTATCAAAAACACGCTTGAACTGTGGTATATGATCACCCATTCCACTGGAGATACCACTATCAGTGCTGAATTCAGAATGCATCGACATTTCAAGCTCGCTCTGTAAGCTATCAAACTGCGGTGCTGCGCTTCCAAGATGACTGAAGAGCGAACTGCGTGCGACCGGCATTTGCTTCCGGCGCAACTTACGCAGTTGCTCTTGTGCATCCTTCAACAAAGCTTCCACTTCATAATAACGTTGTTTGAATTCTGTAAGTTCCAATGCCAGGGAATTTTGGTTGTCTCTGGTGATTTGGAGGAGACTGTTGACTTCATCATTTTCAGTTATAAACTAAAACAAAAACCAGGTTAACATCTAAAATATTTCATTATATTCTTCAAGTCTACTTACTTTATGTAATCGCAGCTCAGCGTCTTGTAACTTTGACTGCAATGTCAATATCTGTTCATGTTGCAGGCGGTTTTCATCCTTCTGCTTATCCAGCTCGTCTTCCAACAGAGTCATAGTGGAATTCGAGCACGCTGCAATTGTAAGAAAGTCAATTTAGTCATGTAACTTATACAGCAGCATTAGTTATCACGTTATGATTAAGTCTGTGAAATTGAAACTGCGGAATATACGACTTGCGATAACAACTGCGCTATTTTTAGGCGATGCTTGCATCGTGTTTACATCCATAAAGTTTGATAACGCATGCAATCTAACCGGAATGATTGATTTATACGTGCACACATGCACATATTTGCATAGTGTAATCAAAATTAAATTACCTAATTGTCCAGCAATGTCCTTAAGCAGACGCGCCTCCTGCGCTTCGATGTCATCCGCATCCTTCGACAGCTGAGTGTACTCGCACTTCAGCGACTTGTTTTCGTCCTCCAACGATGCTAAACAAACAAAATTTCAAATTGAAGATTACCATGACAATAAACTATTGTTGTGTGTTACGTACAGATTCGTTTCTGCATGAGGTCAAGATTTATACGCCCTGTATAAGATCCGGACTCCTGGCCGTCGTCCATGTCGTTGGTGAGTATTTGGATGAGCTCTGTCTTCTTGGTGACTTCATGACTGAGCTGTGTGATCTTCTCATTGGCGGTGCGCAGCTCGGCCTCAAGATTGGTGACGTTCGATTCTAGCTTATTGTTTACCTGCAGCAGTTCCTTACCGATGCGTGCCGTCAATTCCAAGTCTTTCTCTTTCTAAAAGTGACAAAATTTTCCTCAATAATTCTTTATCTAGAATGATTAACTGTATACCTCTTCGAGAAGCCTAGTGACCGCTTCTATATCATCGTAGGTCTTGCTCATTTGGCTCACGCGATCACTGCATAAGACTACAACAAAACGCCAACAATAAAGTTTACCATTTTTATTCACACTGACAATACTTACGAAAATAGTTAAGAGTTTCACGGATCTGGTCCGGCGACAATTTCAGATCGGCCTCGTCGACCTGGAGCGCCGGCGACGGGATGAACCAGTCCTGATTCTCGTATCCTGCAAACAAAATGGCGCATAAGTCACATGATGGCGGCATTTGAGACGGTACTGAATGAACGCCGACGAAAAAACCACAGAAGTAGCAACATTTTTATATTATCTCCGATATCAGATGCGCTACATTCATTATCAAAGAGATTATAATTAACAAAATGTGTAATGTCATAGTTATTCATAATCTTGATAATCAAACAAAGCGAATAAAATTATCGTTAAAATTAACCATGTAATCTCTGCTCTTATGTTTATACATTTGTTGTTGCTAAATATTTAGAGCAAGCGATAACGTTGAATTAAAATGGCACTTGGAATTGTTTTATGTCCACTAAGATCAACAAAACAACTTGAATTTTACTTGTTTCCACCGGTATCGACTTGATATAGTCTGTAATCATTTTATTTTTTATTTATTTTTACCTTGCGGTGAATCCACCACATCCTGACTACACATTTGTAGAATTTCGCTCATTTCGCCGCCGCTGAGGCCCTCCATTTTGGCAATCACCGTGTCAAAGTGCCGTCGTATCCTTATCGCTTTGTACGGCGTACTCGTCGCAGACATTTTTCACTCACTCACGTAGCGATTACCGATATAAATACACTAATCAAGTTAAAATAATAGTCGATTATTCTAGTTTGTACGATTGATAATCCAGGCACGTCATTTTGTAAAGTTTTAATTCTCACTTCGTCGTTCACATCCCCAAAAGTGTTCCTAACTCATCACGCATCAGTCATCGAATGTTCACGGTGTGCATGTGCACCGCGTTTGAATAATCTCGTCAAAGGCGGCCATGATTGGCGCGAATTCGTCAAGGTGTAACATGAGATTCGATTATCAGCCTATCACCGCTTCACGGCATACAAAATGTCGTCGATGTCTCATATAAACAACAACAGAATGCACACTTTTCAAAACATAATAACAAAATGTCCGCAGCACACCGGTAAATTTCACTTCATTTCAATCTCTTGCATGTCCCATTGTATTCTACGAATTCTCCGAGCATCTTTATCTCTAACACGTCCAGTGCGTCCAATTTCGTTTCATCTTGGCGATGTGAATGCCGACAACAAGTGTTGCCGACACTGATGGTAACATTTTGTTCGTGGAAGCAAGAATATCACCACTGCGATGTGATGAAATGATACATTTTAAATTCAGTTTTAGACATTCCGTTGGTCATGATTCATAGGTGCGCACATAATCTTCACTTTAAATGCAGAATGCGTCGAGCTCGACTAGCTCTATACAAGAGCTTTGAATATGGTTCCATGGTATAATAGCATTAATGTCAATGCACTTGATATTAATGGCATTAATGATCACTTTCGGGGAGTGTCCTTTGAATACTCGCACTGCGGTACAATAATAAACACATAAAAATGTGCATTCATTTGCATAGAGATAGAACTAACGCAGGACAAACTTAACTTAAGCCACAAGACAATTTAAATTAATTTTTAAAGAAAAATTCACTGCAGTTCTTAAAATTTTAAAATACCTTCACATTAAAAATAAATATAAATTGTTCACTTATTTTTAAATGTTGATAATACTTATAATTGTTTAAGTACATATTGTGCTGAGCGTTTTCTTGCGCGCGCGCCTCAAACGCTCAAAGTAAACTAAAGTCGCGCGGCGTGCGTCATGCCGGCACACATATTCAAGTCATGTTTGAAAAGCGAAGGGAAGTGCAGACACGCACGCGTGGGAGGAGTAGCAGCATAACTTGGAACAAAAGTTACAAAAGTAAAGCTGTGCTTTGGCACAAAGAACCACCAGGAATTTCATTCAAATTAATTTCAAACGCGGACAATGAATGATAAAAATAATTTTCTTCTACTCGCTGATATATTTAAACAGATTGCCAATGAGTAAGTTGCGAAAAGGTAAAAGTTTTGTCTAGAGCATCTAATTAATTACATAAAAACTCATTTTATTATTAAATTCAACATTTTACTAGGTGAAGATGTAAAAATATTAGAAAACTAGCTTCAGCCCGCGACTTCGCAATTTTATTTTAAAGAAATTAATTATATAAAGAATTGCTAATACTGCACTTCAGCCATCTCGCATTCAACTATTTAACTATAACCATGATTGAATCTCAATGCCAACTTTTATCCTATAGAAAAGGGCAGTTTTTAGGGTTTTCCTCGCAATTATTCGAATTTTTCTCACCGTAAAAACCTTGATCTAGGAGTTGTAGAGTTATGCGCTTACCAACACATTTTGTGATTCATTTTTATAGTTAAAAAAAAATGCTATAAAATGTAATATTTTCTTGTTTTACGACTGTAACAGGAAAAATCTTAAATCAAAGTTGAATTAAACACAAGTCATAATGTCAACATACATGAAGACTATAGAAAAACGATAAAAAAACAAACCGCCGGTGACTTGTAGCACAAGTTTACGTATGTTGTATGCAGTATGCAGGTAATACCAGATAGAAGAAAAAGATTAATCGTAAAAACTTGCAAGTTGATGTGACATCCAACGGTAAGCTATGCTTATACTAATTGGAAAGGCTGATGTTGATGCATCTGCTTTCCGATAGTGATTCCGATATCATCTCAACTTGTTCTCATGTAGCTAAAAACATTTCTCATGTTGCGCATTATTTGTCGGATAAATTGAATGAACAGTTAGTCGAAATGACACTTTTCAAACTGTATCTCGCCGGTTTTGCTTAGATTGTTGCACTTTTGCAGTTTACCACTAATAGCAAATGTTTGCGATGCACGTGGAAATAATTTGCATACAAAACCCGATTTTCTAAAAACAAAAGTTTACTACCTAGGTTTTTCTCATTAGAGTAAAACTTTGGATTCGCTAAATATTTCACACGTCACAATTGTGCAATTGTGTACATCTATTTAGGTACATTGTGAAAAATCCAAGAAATCATTACCATAATGCGATAATGCCATCAACAATTACTTTTCTTCACCCGGAAAAAAGCCACACACTTTTGCAGCAACAATTTACGCATTACACACATATCATACACGTCAAAGTGAATAATTCTTCATGTTTGTGGCTTTTTTTGTTTGATTGCTTTTTTGTTTTTCTTTTCAAAGTTTGTAGTTTGTAGGTAAATCGTGAGCTGTGTGAATATGCTATTATCTATGTATTGTGGTATTGTAGTCGATATGATGCATTGTATTTTGCATTCCCGACATTCTCGCGTTCGTTATTTGCGTATTCGTAATTGTGTCTACACTCGTACTCAGTACCCGGCATTTTCGTTTATGACTGGTGATAGTTTACACCGATAACGTACCACAACCATCATCAAACATAAGATTTAAAAAATCTCTTTTACTCTTAAAATTCGACTTTAGCATAAAGAAAAATCAAAATTCGATTAAAATTAGCACGGATATTAAACGATGATAACCACAGGATATATATGTCTTAAAAGATAAACTCTAAGATTAAACTCTAAGTGTCAACATCTAATTAACAATAAACTATCCTCAGCCATGAAAGCAACGTTAGTTAATATTTATAAGCACTTATTTTCTTTACAATAAAAAACAAAAAAAAAACATAATAAAAAATTCAAATTGCGAAACATCCTGCCACGAGCCGCGCTAATTCGCATTTCTCCTTTAATTTATTCATGATTATCGTGATTAAATCCATCAATATAATCGATTGGAATGTGATTTTTTACTTCTCCGTCAAGAGCGACAAAACGAACTCTAATAATCCGTGAAATATTTCATTTCCTTTTTCCTCTGTGCAATAATCAATGTAAAAACTAATTAAAATCAACACTAAATGCATAAAAAAAATGTTGAATACATTATTTAACATTTCTTTTCGTGATTAGGCACTTTAATTAATCACGCAGACATTATTAACGGTAGAAATTTATTAAAAGTCTGTTTGTATTTGTTTTTTTTTGTTGTTTTTTATTTGGTTTGTTTTGTGCGATTGTTAAAGATCAATTCGACAATCGATAATAAAACGTAATCGAACGAGTGTGAAAGTTTTCCTGTTTTACTATTCACTTTTAAATTTATTTTAGTTCCATTTTATTTGTTGGTTTAAACAAGTTGTAATCGCGTTGAAATGTTCAGCTTTAACAAAAGATTTAAAGATTTATTGATTTCGTTTTCATATCCGTATTTGGAATAGTTTTAAATTCATTACATTCATAAATATATCATTTGTAATATTTAAGCAACGTTTTTAAGAATGAAAGTTTAAAATTCTTTGAAATAAATTGTTTTTTTATGAACTTTTTCTTTTGTGTATAAAATATTTATTTCTTGCTATTTCTTGCTGGCATGAAAACAAATCGTTTATATTAATTCCATTCCCATCATTAACTCTTGGTCTCTTCTCATGCACAAATCTCTTGATTTCGCGTTTTGATAAACATATTTTCTAAACTCTAAGATAATTGTTTTTAATTCGAGCAGTTTAGATCTAAATGTATTTAACTTCTGTCTTAAACAGGTAAAAAATACTTTTATCCAACTTAGAGAATAAAGAAATTTCCCACCATTCCCACAAATTAGTAAATATGCACATATCTACGTCCCTGGCCAGTCCACTATCAACTCTAAAACAATCCCAATACAACTTCAACACTGATCAAAGTACTTCAGAACTAAATAACACAAAAATCAACAATATAATCTCTTGATTATGAAAGATTTATGCAATTTTAATGCCACCGCATTATACACTCAGATTTAATGCAGTTTGAAAAAACTTTATGAAGTATTGTTCGCTAAGTAAGTTTTTACTCGTTTTTTATTTTTTATTTACTCACCGCCAAATTGGGTTAATGTATCAGCACGAAGCTTGTATCGCGGTATCTGCTCCTCGAGCAGACTTATAATCTCCACCTCGGGAATGGACTCGCTGCTGCACAATTCTGCAACACAAGAAACAGCACAATTCCAATTAAAACACTTGCTCGGTAATATTTCACAAACATCATATTTAATTGATGCATATTTAGCGGATGGCGTTAGCGCACAATAGGTGCGCAAAATACACAATGCAGACAAATGGAAAATATTGTAATTATATATGTATTTATTAACACGTGTGAAACATAGCATTAAAATATTGTCAATTGTGTGAAGTCGTGAAGTAACGCCATAAAATATCTATTATTACAAATGAAGAATAATTATACATCTTATATCATTCATAATAGTCATTTCAAACAGAAGAAAAATTTTCTTTGTGCTTCGGAATATAATTGATTGAAATATAATGAATATTCATGGTTTATTTTACAAAATAATATTTTTACATACAACTAGCTTTTGCCCGCGACTTCGTCCCGGTAGTGTTTAATAAAAATGTAATTCGTATATACTCTCTTGTTCTAGACATAGTATGTGTCAATTCTATCAATAAGATTCGCAATTTTACTTTAAAGAAATTAATTATATAAAGAATTGCTAATAATGCACTTCAGCGCGCCACCACGGATTCAACTATTTAATTATAACTATGATTGAATCTCAATGTCAACTGTTATCCTATAGAAAAGGGCTGTTTTTAGGGTTTTCCCTGCAATTATTTGAATTTTTCTCGCTGTATAAACCATCCTTGGACTTTAACAACCGTTTTAAAAAAGAAATGGCTAAATTGGTCTAGGCGTTATTGAGTTATGCGCTTACCAACAGATTTTGCGATTATATTATAGATTTCGTAGTTTTCAACCAGTGGTACATGAACTTCCAACATAACCTAACTTTATATCTAGTTAACATTGACTTCCCTTGATCACTGCCTTCGTCCGCATCAATTAAAGTTTTCGTTCATTCATTTCACTTTCCAACTTTTTACTACACAAATATGATTGTATTACTTTTTACTAACTTCCGTACTTCAAATAAAGTAAAAAATTATATATTTTAAAAGCTAAACAAAAAATATCATTTTTAAGTGAAGTTACGTTGAATAATTTATAATTATCGATATTATACAATAGCTATGCGTTTGTAAGTTGTCTATGTAAAAACGTGAGTCGATGGTATTTTTAGCCGACGGTCTATTTGTTTAAACCGTTCGACGTTTGTTGAAAACTCGCCAAACGCAACCGAGTTAGGCGAGCCGCGAACGCAAACACAAGCCAAGCGAAATGATCTTGAGGCTGTCGTGATTACACGTCCGACCAAACGTTAGATTATAATCAAATCTTATAATTATAAAGAAATAATCTATATTCAATCATAAAGTAGGTAGATCGTCACTTTTCACCTAATAATTTTCAATTAATGATCACTTTCAAGCATTTTTTTCTTGCTAATTACTGTTTTTATTAATGGTGACTAACATTCGGTCGGTCTCGCAACACGATGCGTCGCGACGACGAGCGTCGTGCACCAAATATCTAAATCTGAAATTTCACAGTCTCAAGCTCGCGAACACGATGTACAAACGAACGAAACGAACGCATTTTGCAACGTGTTGCATTTAACTCTAGCGATAGATGAAAGTTTGCACGTTACAGTCGGCTATTACATAATCTCAACCTAAACTAAACTAATTTTAATACATTATCCGAATACTTATTGAATGAATCGAGGGAAAACAACATAAGTTACTATCCCACACAATTCCCAACTCGTGATCATGTAAATTCACAAATTATCAGATTTTTCAAATTCCTATAATTAGATTATTCAATTAACAAGCTGATATAATTAAAAGTGTACAACTTACGTCATGCACAATTTCATTAACTCTAACTCATCTCGTGATACAAATATCACGAACGAATCTTGTTTGGCATCAGACAAAACGCAGAGTAAAGATGCGGACGCGATGTGTATCATCAATTGGCAGTTTGGCGATCGGCAATTGGCACCAGATTCGCTAAACGTGATTATTAAACGTGTGTTAATTCGTGGTAGGTCGATGTTAACCTTGTTGGTATATTTGTTGATTCACGTGCGTGCATGTTCAAATGTACATTTACATTGACATTGTGTGGAACAAGCACATGAATGTTACAAGTGTTACGTTAGGCCAACAGATCAAATACATCTGATGAATAACTGTTGAATAACCTTTGAATTTATATTGTACTCGTGTATAAAACACTATATAAGTGCATACCAGCATTAAAGTTGCATTTTTATTGAGTGAACTGGTAAAATAATGTCAAAAATGAAAGAATAAAACGTGAAACTTCAGTTTTTATTATAAAACTAGCTTTTGCCCGCGACTTCGAACCGGTAGTATTTAATAAACATTTATTTCGTTTTTACTTTCTTGTTCTAGACATAGTATTTGTCAATTCTATCAATAAGATTTGTAATTTTATTTTAAAGAAATTAATTATATAAAGAATTGCTAATAATGCACTTCAGCGCGCCATCTCGGATTCAACTATTTCACTATAACTATGATTGAATCTCAAAGCCAACTTTTATCCTATAGAAAAAGGCTGTCTTTAGGGTTTTCCCGGCAATTGTTCAAATTTCTCTCGCCGTAAAAACTATCCTTGGACTTTAACGAATATTTAAAAAAAAGAATTAGCCAAATTTGTCTAGGCGTTGTTGAGTTATGCGCTTACCAACATATTTTACGATTCATTTTATTTTAAAGATAGATTGAAAAAATAAGAAAAATAAAAGATTAATAATAGATAAATTAGTGATAAAAATAAATGATTTATGTTTTTCTCCATTGCCTAAACATACATCTATTTTATTGTAAATTTAATCACAATTCATAGTCAAACTTCAAAAAAACGGCAAATTCCTTTTCAAAAATTAATAAAACTAATAAACACGCAATTAATTTTTATACTAATAGCATCTTTCTAAAGTTAGTATGCAAATTAAACATTCACCATATTCGTTTTGCCAATTCTAGCAAAATTTAAGCGTATAAACACAAAACAAATATTCAAATTCTGAAATTCTAAAATGTGAATGTAAATTTCTCTCTGTTCACGCATATTGTAAAACACTGGCATTTATGACATTATAATTATTATAATAAACAATTAAAGTATATGCTTAAGTAGTTCGTCAAACTATTAAACATATAATCAGTTTTTTGTTTGAGTTTAGTATTATATGCTAATGTGCTGTAAATGTACACTAAATGGACGATGAACAATGATTTGAAGAGAAATCCACCCGTATTGTAAAACAACTGTATTAGTTTTCCTTCAGTTGATAATATTAATTCATGGTAATACTGTTTATTGTTATAGAAAATTGAATATAAATCAGAAGCATGCACCGTTATGTTACGGTCGCTGGAAAATCAATATTGTTGACTTTGATAATAACTCAAGCAGTAATATTTTGTCATTAATCGTTGTTGACGGTAAAAAATAGAAAATTTCACTGTTTAGGCACAGGAATTGAAAAAAAAATTACGAGAAAGATATTACAAATTCTAATAAAATAAAAAATAAAAAAACATATAAATATTTATAATTTTAACTAGCTTTTGCCCGCGACTTCGTCCCGGTCGTCTTTAATAAAAATATAATTCGTTTTTACTCTCTTGTTCTAAACATAGTATTTGTCAATTCTATCAATAAGATTCGCAATTTAATTTGAAAAAAATTAATTATATAAACAATTGCTAGGGCTTCACACGAGACGAGACTGGACGAGACTATCAAAGGTATCGTCTCGGTATCGTGTGTAGAACTCAGTTTTAGATCTTTGCAGTTCAAAAGTTTAGTCATTTAATCGATAATTGCTTTTATTGTAAAGTAAATCCAAAAATACATACATAGTTTAAAATATTAATTTTTGATTGCATCACTTTTAATTGAAAATATATTTTTTATTGTTTCAAATTTTTAAACGTTAATGTATACTAGGATACAATAATCGATTTGATTTGTGTTGAAAGTAAACGGCGCACGTCCACAATTCCTAACTTATCCAGATGTATACTATATCTTTGCTTCAAGAAGTACAGAAAAACACAAAAATATGTCTCCAGATGTGTAAACCAAGACAAAATTTTCATAAAACTTTCAAAAAGTCAAAAAGTCATGATATTCGGTTACTGACTTGTTCTTTTGAATATACATAGGTATATGAAGCCCTAAGAATTGCTAATAATGCACTTCAGCGCGCCATCTCAGATTCAACTATTTAACTATAACTATGATTGAATCTCAATGTCAACTTTTATCCTATAGAAAAGAGCTGATTTTAGAGTTTTCCCGGCAATTATTCAAATTTTTCTCGCTGTAAAAACCATCCTGAAACTTTAACAAACATTTTAAAAAAGAATTGGCCAAATTGGTCTAGGCGTTGTTCAGTTATACGCTTACCAACAGATTTTGCGATTTATTTTTATATTATATTTACTGAGTACAATTTCAATAACTTTTTCATTATTAAATAACTAAGGCAATAAAAAAGTATTAACAATTGCGCGTCATAGTGAATTAATCTCTAGCCACAAATCAACCTTGTCTTAACTGAACAATAAGTCAACAAAATAATTGACCATCGCCTTAATTAATATTAAATAAGTACTTAAAGCAACAATAATAATAAAAAAAAGTTGATTTGTCTCATTTGAATAATTTATATTCCTTTTCAAAGCATCAAATCATAAAAACGTAGATTAACGTTATGTAAACTAAAAAATAAAATAATTTATTGCGTGCATTAAAAGGTAAATACGCTTGCCTTATCGAATATGCCAGAATAATTATTATAATGAGAAAAAATTATTCATTTTGATTACAATTACCCGACGCAATTTTCTACACTATTTACCGAGTTCAAGAGCGCATACAAATTCACGAGTGATTAACTGCAAATGAAACGTCAACGTGGAAACCGTATCGAAACAGTCGACATTAATTTTATGAATAATAATAGAGTGAAGTAAGTATTATTTATAAAAGGAAAACAAAGTGAAGTGGGCAACTTTAAAAATATGCGTGATTCTATTTTTACTGCAATGTTGATAATTGTAACTTTATACACGAATAAATTGTATATTTCGATTCATTTAGCAGTATTTCTACCGATAACGTCCAAATAGTAATTAAAATCATGAATGTTTGTTATGGATTGATGAATTGACGTTGGTATTAACTGCCCGATAGAAAACTTAATTATGCATAACACAAACTGTTCAAAGTATTGAATTTATCTATTACATAAAAACGAATCGCAAAATGTGTTGGTAAGCGCATAACTCAACAACGCCTAGACCAATTTGGCCAATTATTTTTTTAAAATGTTCGTTAAAGTCCAAGGATGGTTTTCACGACGAAAAAAAGTCGAATAATTGTCGGGAAAATCCCAAAGACATCTCTTTTCCATAGGATAACAGATGGCATTGAGATTTAATCATAGTTATAGTTAAATAGTTGAATAGTTGATAGTGCATTGTTAGCAATTCTTTATATAATTAATTACTTTAAAATGAAATTGCGAACCTATACTACCGGGACGAAGTCGCGGGCAAAAAATCAATTACAAACATTAAACCACAATTAAAATCAACATATAAACAATGATTCGTTCAATGATTTACATGCATACAAATATGTAAAAACATATGAAATTAACTTTTCCGAATGTTTATTTCGGTTTTTACTGGCTTCACGGCCAATTGAACCGATAACAAACCACTTACTATAATCCTGATTACTGAATTGAATGAATATTATATGGAAGCCATTCAAATGGAAATAGAAATAGATTCTACGAATACAAATTCGTATAAGTGTTTTGATTGATCATACCTACCTGGATACCGATGTTGATCAAAATAGATTGATGTGATTACAATGGCTAATCCTAAACCTAACGGTACAATCACACCTTGCATGTTGACCAGCAGACATTCGTAAATGGCAAGTCATGGATAACCACTAGCATCATTTTTAAATTACAAATTTAAATATCAATTACAATTAATTATAGGAGCAGTTTTTTAAGTGCAGTAATTTAGGTTATATAAGACTTATATTCGTCTGAGTGAATAAATTTAAAAAGCGTCTTATCCTGTTCCATCAACAAATATTTGGCGAATAATCAAAACAATCATGTATTTACTACTTACTATTATTGAATACTAGCGACCCGCCCCGGCTTCGCACGGTAGTAAAAAACCGCATCAAAATCCGTTGCGTAGTTTCAATGATTTAAGCATACAAAGGGACAGTCAGAGAAAGCGACTTTTCTTCTCCAAACAAAAACATCAACCGGTCAACTTCGACCCACACGTACACACATACACACGTCTATGCTTGGAGGGGGAAGCTTCGAAGCATCGCACAAAGAGGAGACGGGAATAATCAAAAACTTTGTATTTACGACATCACATTAGAAACCTCAAAAATAGCAGTACTTCTCCACTATTTAATGGATGTTATTATACATATAAACCTTCCTCTTGAATCACTCTATCTTTAAAAAAAACGGCATCAAAATCCGTTGCGTAGTTTCAAAGATGTAAGCATACAAAGGGACCGGAAAAAAAAGCGACTTTACTTTATACTATGTAGTGATATTACATTATAGTATCAAGTGGTTAAACAGGAGTTTTATTCACGAGCGTAGCGAGCGTGTAATCGATCAAGTGTTTAACAACGTTTGGCCACATGATGCTTACGATATTTTTTCTACTTCCACTCTATTTCCACGTTTAGATTTTAGTATTTAAACTTTTGTATTTTAAATCTTCGAAATTCGCTCGCACTCTACTACAAGATGAAAAGTTATAAATGCCAGGCGCATACTCCGCGTCGGTAATAAAGCCAGTGGCATTGGCCGTCCGTATTTAAAGTACCACTTTTTGTATCTAAAAACGGTGGAAACATTAGCGCTTCAGGTGATTTTTAGTTTTCTATTAACTTAATTTTTGATTATTTCAAAAATAAGTCAATTTTAACCATTTAACCTTGAAATTAAATCACCATTAATCAAATATTGAAATAAATTAGCAAACTGTTTTGTATCGTATTACTAGGTACTCTACTCTATACTTGCCTAATAAAAATACAATTTCAGATAAATTGACATTGCGTGCAATCATACATACATCCGCAATATGCCAGAGGTATTTTATTATTAATACGAATCACATGACATATTCTCATCCGTTTAGTATATAAACGAAGAACATCCAATATCGTTCTCATAAAACTAAAACTATTCCAATATCATACATCACCACAAACTCAATTTCAACCGTTTTATTAAAATGTGGAAAATTACAATTTCCATACTGTTTATCACGCTTGCATTGTGCGTTTTAAACGTTCAAAGTAATCAATGTACTAATACTTGCATCGGTGTGAGCAATTGCATACCGGTGCCGAGTAACTGTCGGGAAATTGGTGGCGCCGTAGAAAATTACCCGGAATGTGCGTGTTGTCCATCATGTGTATACAGAGTTGGTACGGAATTATTCATATATACTTACACTGAATTAATTATTAGTTATGTATTTATTAATACTATTTTAGATGATGGTGAATATTGTGGGTATAATTCTACCGTTAATGCGCTGCAAGTTTGTGAGTGTGGATCTAAATGCACAAATTTAAAAGATGGCGGTGTTTGTGTGCAAGATTCAGAATCTGATTGCGATTCTAGTTCAAGCTACAGTTCATTTAGTTCTGAATCAGAATCAGATTCAGATACAAGTTCTGACTCAAATACAAATTAATGAAAAGTAATTTGATTTCTGACAAAATTCTGCAATCATAAATAAAATAAAAGCAAATATGTTATACGTTTATTATTCTATTTACACCTATAAAGTCTGTTTTTCTACGATTTTATGACACAAAAAGTGGTACTTTATATAGGCCTATAGACGGCCAAGCCGTGAGTAAAGTACTTTATCTACGAGTATTATCTACGGGGCAGGCTTGCACCTGCGCTTTTGCTTACGGTGCAGCACCATTGCCATGCGTATCCAGTCGAACACAGCAGCTGCTCGGGTCGACTCGGCACGACATTTATAACCTTCCATTTCCAAGTAGTATACAAGTGAATTTCGAAGATTTAAAATACAAAAGTTGAAATATCAAAACCTCAACGTGGAAATAGAGTGGAAGTAGAAGAAATAGCGTAAGCATCACGTCGCTAAACGTTGTTAAACACTCGATTTATTAAACGCTCGCTCTCAATCTATCTCATGAGTAAAGCCCTCGTTTAGCTACTTGATACTTAATATACTATGTAACGCTTTTAGGCCATAATCACTCAACCAAGTTTGATAATTCTTGGAATAGAAAACATTTTTGATAAAGGAAAAACAAATAGACTACTTTTATACATCTTGTATAAATAGAACAAGAAGAGTGTAAAATGGGAAATAAAAATTGTAATGCAAATTCATATACAAAATCGCTGACAATAGCTAGTTACCAATAAAATTATCATCTTGAATGTATAATTCATGCATCCATACATTCCCAATATAACTAATTTATATTTATGCCATTCATTGTGATTGTCATCAGCTTGTTAACCGTGACTTCGTGATCATGATTAAAGCGATTTTTCTCCAACATGAAAATAAATTCCATGCAATTCCACCGCATTACTTTGAATCCGTTTCAAACCAACCCGCATGTGCTTTTCTGTGTCGTGATGCACACCAAAGTATTAAGTATTTTCTCGCGTGTAATAAAGATAACAATAAATAAATACGCGTACATACATGTAGAGAAAATTCGTGCAAAATGTAGCCTTGTTTTCACATCCTTACAACTCCATTATACACATTCACCTTATTCACCAGATAACACAATTAAACATTTAACGCTCCCGTTGCTCTACATTTATAAGTCAATGTCGAAGAATGTTTAAATGTGTCACGAGAATATTTTAGTCGTGCTAAAACAACATTTTATTTTATATTTACTTTAAAAAAATTCTTGAAAGTTAAGAAAATAAAATCAAATACAAAGTGAGTAAAAGTTTTGTATTTGTTTTGTATTCATTTACAAAATAAATAATTACCATTTCAACACATTTCAAGTCACTTATTATAGAATTAGTATTGAATTTACTTAGTTTTATTCAAGGTAAAACTTGAAAATATTTTCTCGGTCTATTGTTTGCTGTATTGTAATTTAATAATAAATATTAAATGTTTATCCATTTTGAAGTAAAGTATAATTAGCATTTTCAACAGGTGCTCTCATTAGCGCTCTACTTGTGTGTGCCGAATGTAGCGAGTAATTATAATTTAATAAATCGAAAATTTCGAATTAAAATGGAAAGTCACGCGAAGCACAAGTGCCAAAGCCTAAATGAGCGAATAATTAGATCAATGAGTATATGGCATTATAGGACTACGTGTCGAAAAAAAAATTTAATTTTAAGTATTAATTATGTGTTTTAAATGGAATTGCTGCGTGAGGTCAATAACATTGTTAATAATATTTCCCTAGTATTTCATTAACTGTTAGAATTTTTATCTTTAACTAGCTTTTGCCCGCGACGTCGTCCCGGTAGTGATTAATAAAAATGTAATTCGTTTTTACTCTCTTGTTCTAGACATAGTATGTGTCAATTCTATCAATAAGATTCGCAATTTTATTTTAAAGAAATTAATTATATAATGAATTGCTATTAATGCACTTCAGCGCGCCATCTCAGATTCAACTATTTAACTAGAATTAAGATTGAATCTCAATGTCAACTTTTATCCAATAGAAAAGGGCTGTCTTTAGGGTTTTCCCGGCAATTATTCGAATTTTTCTCGCCGTTAAAACCATCCTTAGACTTTAACGAACATTTAAAAAACAGGAATTGGTCAAATTGGTCTAGGTGTTTTTGTGTTATGCGTTTACCAACATATTTTGCGATTCATTTTTATATTATAGATATAGTATATTCCACTTTGTTGCTTGCTACATAGAAAGATAATTAAAAATTGGGTGAATGGCAACTTGAACGGAATAGGATGTAGAGTACGAGTAAAATAATGTTGTTATTTTGTAGAGCCATGAAATTTAGATTTTGACGGTCAAATTGCTGTAAAATTTTAATGACCTGCAATTTTTTCGACGTGTTTGATTCATACACGCCGGTATTACAACCATAAACCTAAATCAATGTCAATCATGCACGTTTAGAGTGAAACGAGAGAAACGAGATGTAACGAGGAAATTGTAGCGCATGTGAACCTTTTTACCAATTCTAAGTTGACAATGAATTAAAACAAACAAAAAATGCAAAATTCATTCTGAAAACACAAATAACTCCTTTGCTTTTTAATAATTCATTATAAAATCAAATAATATCTACTGAAATGCTTTACGTACGCGCGTGAATAATTATTAATTAATGTCATTAATCGATAGGAAAAGCCAGTGGTGATGTGATAATCAACATAAATCAAGCAATAACTAACCAGTAAACGAATAACTGAAATACTTATATTGTGAAACGTCACGTGGCAATCGTATTTATAAATAAATAAATACATGCAATATTGGAAATGTGTAACAGCATAAAAAATATTTAACAAATTTAACTTAAAGTAAAAAATAACTTACAAAAACAGCGTTTAAACAACTCCTGTTCAAGTTGCACATGAATTTTCAGATTTACAAATATATTCACTTTGTAAGTATTTTTATCTTTTACACGTCACACAAGCAAACATATTCACAGCAATTTCCCACCAACTCAACACTTAACAAACTGCAACTATTTTCACTCAGCTATGCTTTTTAAATATCAAATATTTCCGTTTTGCCGGTCGACTTTCGCCTACAATACGAATCCAACTGATCATGACAACAGCACCCAGCGATGACTAGGCTCATGTCTAGCAAGGACATCAAACGCGGCCGCTACGACTGTTGCTACCAACACAAAACACTAAACTCACACTCGATACACTACTGCTGGCCGCTTGTTTCATCGTCGATTATTGTATCACGTGCCGGAGAATATAACACAGAATGAGTATGAAGTGTGTATGAGTGTGTGTCTACCGAGTGAATGATCACACTCGACGCGGTAACCAACACATCCGACATCGAGCATAGGTTAATGTATACACAGGTAAATGTATGAATCATTTTATAATAAGATAATTATATTAAAATGTGCTACATCAAGTTAATCGCCTTGAATTCTTGAATTTATAGATATTTTTATAAAGTTTAGTGAAACAGAATGTATTTACTGCGTTTGTGTACAGGTATGTTTGTAGTGTCAGCGGGTAAAACGTGTTGGAACGATTAATAAATACGATATTGACCTTAAACTAATGATACAATGGCACACTAGCAAATATTGAACGATCAAGCGATCAAACAATTAATTCTAATGCTATAAACATGAACATGAAGCAAGAAATAAGGCTTATTCTTGATATTAAATTAAAATATTCATAACTAGCTTTTGCCCGCGACTTCGCCCCGGTAGTGTTTAATAAAAATGTAATTCGTTTTTACTCTCTTCTTCAAGGCTTAGTATGTGTCAATTCTATTAATAAGCAATTTTATTTTAAAGAAATTAATTATATTAGGAATTGCTATTAATGCACTTCAGCGCGCCATCTCGGATTCAACTATTTAACTATAACTATGATTGAATCTCAATGCCAACTTTTATCCTACAGAAAAGGGCGTTCTTTAGGGTTTTTTCGGCAATTATTCTAATTTTTCTCGCCGTAAAAAGCATCTTTGGACTTTAACGAATATTAAAAAAAGACGAATTGGTCAAATTGGTCTAGGCGTTGTTGAGTTATGCGCTTACCAACAGATTTTGCGATTCATTTTTATATTATAGATTTGCTTTAAATTAATTGTTTTCTTGAAGCTTAGACCAAAAATTCAAAATTATTTAAAAAACCTCAATTTTAATTTAAAGAAATAATAAATTCAAATAATGCACTTTAGCGCTATCTCTTTTCTATTTACACAACTATAATTATAATTAAATCTCCATATCAGCGTCCATTCCTTATTTACACCCTTTCAGTTATATTTTTCCGGCAAAAAGTAGTTTATATTATATTCCTTGGTAAAAAATATTTCTATGCCAAGTTTTATCAAAATTACATCAGTGGGTTTTCCGTGAAAGCGTCACAAATAAACAAGCAAAGTTTTAACCCAGTAAATACCAATAACTTCCTAAATACCTTCATAAAATTATTAATTTAACGCCCTGTACATTTAATTTCTATGAACTTACAATTTCCGGACGAGTCGTAAACATTTGTGAACAATTTTTAAACAATTACATCGTGATCGTCAGAGCACACATGCGTGTTGTGTGTGCAATTATATTCGAATTCGCGTATTCGATTCCTTCCTGGTTGTTATATAAGCTGAGTTCAAACTTGACAGAGTAATAGTTGACGAATGGCCAAAATTAAGAATTTTATGTTTCGTAAACATTGCAAACCAAATAAATAACTTAGCATTAATCGACAAACGAACAATTATTATACTACAATCATATCTAATCTAGTGTAACCATTTCATGACGAATTGCATAAACATAAGTATCGAAAAGTTAAAATTTTGCAAGGAATACAAAGTCTAAGTTTAGGAAAACACGCAGAAGTTCGTTATGGTTGGTTAAAGTTAACAAACAATTCATTTAAACATGTTATTTAAGTCATTTTTAAGTTATTTTAAAACCAATTGAGGTATTTATAATATTAACTTCAAAACAGAACATAATTTGAGTAAAAACAGACGGATTAAACGACAATATTATTTTTCAGTATAAAAATCTGTATAAGTATTACCATCATTCCATTTGCATAGCAGTTCGTTCTGTTTCTCCCAGTCCTTGATATTAACAGCGCGTCCGGCGCGCATCCGCGGTCTCACGGTGGTGTGGTGGTCGCCGCTGCCCCCGGGCGCCGTCGCCGATGACATCTTTCAACGCGCGAATCACGTAAACCCGCGCACATCGTATTCGCACGCACTTTTCATTTAATAATGTTTAAATTTATTATTGTATCAATATAAAATCTCTTATATATCTATAAAATATGTATAAATATTGTAAAAAAATGTTTATTACTAGAAAAATGTTTGGTAATTCGGCGTCGCGACGCTTTTCACGCGTATAGTGCACTTATACAACTCTGTACGTCCAGAATGACTAAAACAGCGCGTTGCAAGCTGCTTGCAAGCTTCTGAAAAGCTCGTCTACGACGCTTCGAGTGGGGCTTTCGTATTATATTTTAGTTCATTCGGTTTTCCGTCATTCCTGGCCCGTGGCCAACGTGCACGACATACCAAACACAAATCCGAAGACGCTCGAATTCACTAATCCAGTCGGCGCGACCAGAAAACCCGACTGGAAATGAATTTTAGCATCTTCAAAAGTCTAAGGTTACAAATTTCCTAAAGTCTTGCAACTGTTGTTTCGACCACACGGTATTTCGATCTAATAAAATGCATGTGCAATGCGGAATATACTTGTATGCAGTTTTGTTTTTCGATGCCTTTCAGAGTTATTTTCGAATATACGTCGTCGCGTCAAGTTAAGATCCGCTTCCATTTTCTCTTTGGCATCTGTGCTTTCAACCGCATTTCTTTATGAAAAGAACGTGCGTTTAAAACAAATATATTTTTTGTGCGCGTTATTCGCTGACGTCTCATTAAGATACGACTTGATTGCAGCAATATTCAAGTAAAACTCGTTCGAGACTGCTCAAAATGTTAATTCCTCAAGCTCCGATTACCAGATGTTTGGGTTTGAAATGATTCAGTAGTGTGCGAATGGAGTGACAACTTTGTTTTTAGTCGGTTTATAATGGCATGTGTTGAATTTTAATTTACAGTTCAATTTATCGCACTTCCGTTTCGAGTTAAATATTTGTTAATTTTTTGTTTGAATCATATTTTAAAATACACACGAGTATATATGTACCTATAGATCTGAGTATCTAGTGAACCTTGTACAATGTATGTATATCATAATGATCTTTCTAAAAATATTTATGTATACATAAGAATATCCTGTTTTTTTTTCAGGCCGAAAACGCAAAAAATTACGTAGATTGCAGTCACACGCCTTGTGGTGGTCATCGCCAAAAATTGAATTGAACGTAACGCAACAGACTCAGACGAAATTCCAAACAGGAGTCACACAGATGTGTTTTTGAATGTGTAAGTCTCTAAAATCATATACAAAATAGTCAGTGAGGCATGAAGTAATTACTATTTAAAATACTAAGTTATAAAAATCGAATTTTGAGTTTTTTTATAGCAAAATTTAACAGAAATATAGAAATATTAAGTTTTTCAATTACTTAGGTTAAAAAGTATGTTTTGACAGAAAAATTGACCAGAGAAGTCATAATTTTCTCTTTATTCCAAATATTTTTAACATTTTCCTGTTTAAAATACCGAAAAAACATTGTTTTTGAACTTTTTTCAGAATATTACTCCCGCATCTTGTAAATACCTACAATTTCCATTCCTCTTTATCATTTTAAATTATTTTAAATTATTAAAGGAAAGTCAAAGTCATCGCGATAAAGATGACCATCGCCATCTGTTACTTCATGCAAAAAATACCAGGTAAATGCAAAAAACAATTGCGAATCGCCAGTGTGAAAGTATGATCATCTTGAAAGCTTGTCCAACAACACACTTCATCACCACATACTCCTCAACTGCATCATTACTGTTGCTCTAAATATCCAAACCCAAAAATTCCGTCTGTACTTTAATGACTTCCAAAAGAAAAACACGAAGAAAAAAAAACAGAAAGAAAAAAAGCGAAAAGAAAACAATTGACTAATGTTGTGATTATTCGTAAATTGAACACTGTTAATTTGTCGACAATATTATTCCATATATCTTCAGATTTCCATCTTAAATATATTTCTGTTTACATGAAAACTTATGGCAAACATAAGTTTGGTAGTTCATGGAGCAAGGTTGTAAATTTAGAATACAAAATTAACACCGCGAGAAGCATTTACGCTGCGTTCGCGTACGTTTTTGAATGTTTTGTAAGTTTAGAATAGAACATCAAACATTTTTCACTTCAGTTTGCGTTCGCATGGCATAACAAACAAGCTAATCCAGCAAACTGCATCGGAAAAGTCGTTAGTTTCGGACACTAATTAAGAAAAAATAGAAAATTCCTAGAAACAGCTTAAGTATTATAACCACTTAAGTTATATAACAATAAAGATGGCTCGAAAACAATTTAGTTTTCCCATCTCCCATCTTTTATTATTATAGAATTATCTTATAACTACTTACATCTAATCACGACTCACGAATACCTGGAATAGTATTAGATTGCACGTAAAACAAGTAAAAACACAACAAATTCATTATTTAACTAAAGAAAAAAAAATGAAAACAAACTGAAATTGCTATTAGACTTCCAGGCGATGAAAGGAAGTGATTTGCCGAGAAAAGAAACAAAAACGAAAGGCATCTCCAACCATCCAACGATCATTACCAGCAATTGCTAACGAAATTCCAAATTGAATCGAAATGTCAATAACGTGAAAGGTAACGTAGTGCAGTATTGTTGCATTAAACTTTGAATACAATGAGGTTTTAAGCATGCGCAACTTCGGTTTTAATTACTGAAAAAGAAATAAATTTATTTTCATTAATATTAAATGAATTTATTAATAACAAGCTTTTGCCCGCGACTTCGTCCCGGTGTTTAATAAAAATGTAATTCGTTTTTACTCTTTTGTTCTAGACATAATATGTGTCAATTCTATCAATAAGATTTCAATTTTATTTTAAAGAAATTAATTACATAAAGAATTGTTAATAATGCACTTCAGCGCGCCATCTCGGATTCAACTATTTATCTATAACTATGATTGAATCTAAATGCCAACTTTTATCTTATAGAGAAGGGCTGTCTTTAGGGTTTTCCCGACATTTATTCAAAATTTTCTCGTCTAAAAAACCATCTTTGGACTTTAACGAACATTAAAAAAAGAATTGGCCGAATTGGTCAAGGCGTTGTTGAATTATACGCTTACCATCAGATTTTGCGATTCATTATGATATTATAAATTTGCTTAAATTAAGACTTAATTCTTGAGAATCAAAATTTTAATATAAAAATATTTGAATTATTAATTAATAAGAAAAAATAGCTTTATGCGCATTATATTCTCAAAGTTCAAAAATTGTTCTATCCCACGTCATACTAAAATTAAATATATTACTTTTTTATTTCCTAACATGTCTCCAAATACTTTTACATTTTATTTCGATTACTGCACTTAGTCCATCCTCATCTACTAGCTCTTTAGCCGATATAAAATTTAATAACATAATTATGGAGTTACAAAGTCTCCTCCGCATATTTTCTAATTTTAACTGACATCTAATGATAATCATCAAGATGAAAACTTTATCGCGTCGTAATTCAGGCGGACGTGACAAGTTCCACGAGCATGTTGTGAAACAAGGTCCGGATGTTTTGAATAAAAGTGGCTGGCGCAGCAAAGTTAAAGTCGAACATATTCGTGTGGAAATGAGAGGATCAAACGGATTAAGAGGAAAATGAGGAAATGCAGCGCATTGCACCGCATTTATTTCCAGTTGGCGTGGGCGACTCAAATGAATTTTCCACTCTGGTTTCACTAGGAATACCGATGAACTAATATAAACTCAAGAAGTAATAAATTATATTTTCAATTTCCTAACTTTAGAAAACGACCAATTGACATATTTATACCTACGGAAATCTACAAATATAAATGTATATTGTCCATAAGTATTTTTTATATTCGTTATTCATTTTTAAATTATTATTATTCGAGTGTATCGCAACTATAGGCAACCAGTTATACTTATAATACCTCTACAGAAAAACAAAATTTATTAAAACATGAATGAAATAAATCACGCAGCGCATTGTAACTAATTACTTAGTATGAGTAATTTCCTAATCTTCATCCCACTTAAGTAAGATAAGTAACACGATTCGTGTGAAGATGTGTAGTGAACTAGTGCATTAGTGATCATTTGTGATGCATTTACGCTGTGATAAAATTAGATGTCGTCCTCGTTGAACAAAAATACGCGTGGCTCATTTACTATTACATACTGAATTTATTAGTCACCCTATAAAAGAGTCAGTTATAACTGAGTAAATTTATATTACAGCGTGTATTATTTTAAATGAGCGCATGCGCAGTTAACACTACAAATAAAAGGAAATGAAATGATTAACTATAGTTATTAATTATTATCAATTTTCCTAATCATATTACTTATTACTGACGGTGTATATAATTTAATTACTATGAGTTGTGGCTTTACGCTGATTTTGCAAATAATTATCATCATAAACAGGCTATAAACTACGGAAATATTAATTGCAAATGGATAAGATGTTAAAGTGGCATGAAATTAGAAATGGTAATTATAATATATTGAAATTGACCCCGAAATCTTTATCTATAAACAAATATAAATAGATATACCTACATAAACAAATGCTAAAAGTGTTTGACTGGGTGATAATTTATTTAGTACTGTATACAATTTTCCTGCGTATTGCCTGCTCGTTTTAATTGGTCTTAATAATTTAATAATTGCAAATTATAAATGATGCAATAATTAATCATTTATTAATTACTACTTCGTTTTGCGATTTTTTTTGTTAAGTTTTTATGAAGTTAACGCAATCGCTCATTATATAATTTTTTTTTACTTCCACCATTTTTTCTACGGTTTTTAGACACAAAAATGGTATTTTATATCCAGACGGTCAAGCCGTGAATAAAGTTCTTTATCAACGGGAATTATCTACGGGGCGGAGCTTGCACCTGCGCATTTGCCTACACATACAAGACCAGCACAAGACCATACGAAATGCAATACGCGGCCAGTCAAACAAGTCAAATACAAAAACTTAACGTGGAAATACATAGTGTGGAAGTAGAAAAAATAGCGTCAACATTAGGTGGCTAAACGTTGTTAAACGTAAAGCCCCTCGTTTAGCCACTTTATACTTAATATATCTACTAAGTTCCATTTAATTATCAGTCACGTTGCGCCTTAGTGGCATTTTCAACTGCGTCGCAGTTGCCATCGAAAACAGAAAATAAATAGTTATCGATCTTTTTTATTACGCATTTGTTAAAAACACAATTGATATGCGTATCAACAAGCAACAGTGTGATAAAATAATACCAAATGCTGCAAATTATGAATTTAAATTGTTTCAATTTTGGAATAATTATTCAAGAACCATTGTTTTGCTTGATACCACCTAAACTAATCAGTTTCAAATTGGACAAATTATAATAAAATGGAAATATATTTTTACTGGTCTTATGCAGTATAAATGCTAAAGTCAGGTTGCGCCAACTAATATTACAAAACTAGTGAAGAAGCATACATTAAACATATATTTTTATATTTGGTTAAAATGGCAGTAATGTCAAGTTTAAAGATCTTCGTGCAAAAATATCCTATAACTAGAGGAATGATCACATACGCCACAATGTGGCCGGTATCTTCTTTGATTCAGCAGACACTTATCGAAGGAAAGAATTACAAAAACTACGATTATTGGTCAGCTGCAAGATTTAGTTTTTATGGAGGGATGTGTGTTGCAACTAGTTTGTATGGATGGATAAGATTAAGTTCTGTTATATGGCCCAAGAATAATTTTAAAACAGCAATAACTAAGGTAAACTTAATGCATTTCTGTGTTTTTGCAATATAATATACCTACCTTATAAATAGATTTTAAAATTGAGAGAATTTTTAGTCTTTTTGCACTGAGCTAATTAATGAACCGACAATTGTTTCGCCGGCGAAGGTAGCAGGTCAGCCATCCTTCTAAAGGACTAAAAATTCACTCAATTTTAAAATGCATTTATAAGTAAAAATGTTGCCAGAAATAATCACCACAACCCATACATTCTATAATATACCTTCGTTTACCAAAATGTAATTGATGAATGCGTTAAAAACGGAAAATAACAAAATGCAATAAAATTATTTTTTAACTTGTAGGCGTTAGTAGAACAAGTAACTTATGGACCCGTAGGACTTAGCATGTTCTTTTTCGGTATGACATTCCTCGAAGGACGCGGAATTCAAAAATCAGTGGATGAAGTTAAAGACAAGTTTTGGCCGTCTTATAAAGTAAGCAGCAAAGTTTATCTCAAACATTTATATAATCTATCAACTTTAATCGAATTAATTTCATTTAAGGTCGCAATATGCGTGTGGCCAGTCGTGCAGACAATAAACTTCACATTTATTAAAGAGAGCAATCGAGTGCCTTTCGTGAGCATGTGCAGCATGCTTTACACGATATTCCTAGCACATATGCACAGTCTAAAACCAGAAGATCTGATCATGAATCAAGAGCTACTACTTGCATAGTCTAAAGGAATACAATATTATTTAAACAAAAGTGCAGAAATAATTATAATTTAGTCATATGACTAAGGAGAAGGGAGTATTTTTGTATAATTCGCTTAAACTCCACTGCCTAGACAGAAATTGTTATGTAGTGTCATATGAAGTTTTATTTTATTAATAAACACACAATTTCCATAACTCTCACCACAATTTAATTGTTTTAACTGGAAAATCAAATAATGTTCGTAAATATTTAACCGCAGGCAGACATGTTTATGCAATTGTTTGCAGAAATTGTTTAAACTCTATATCGTTGGTGAATAACAAAAGTTAAAAATCAAAAACTAAATGCGAATTAAAATGTTTTTTAATTTTTTTATCAATTCTATAGTTTCAACTAGCATTTTGAGAGTTTCTTTGGTTTTTTAAGTTTTGGTGAGACTAACTGAGCTAATAAGAAAGATACATTAACGATTCTTACATGATTGAAACAACAGTTGAAGAATATAATGCCGCATTTTGCTGTATACACAACAATTAGCACTATAAATTACCATGTGATGAGAGAAACAACTCGTTTAACTCATGCTTATTTATAGCACATTTCACTAATGCATTTCAATGCTTTTCCGCGTCGTAAAACATTTACATTACACTCGATAAATGCACCGCAGTTTGTTTAAAACCCGCAAATTTTCACATTTCCACATGGTCACGACTTTGTTTATTCACCTTGCATAAAAACAATGCACGTATATTCTATTTCTTAATCCTTCTAACCAACAAAAACAATCCCAAATGAATAATTTGTGGTAAACTATGATGCAACTTACTCAACCTAAAACCCGTTGTCTACATAAATCAATTTAACGATTAAACTCATGACGTCAAAACAATTATCTTGGCTTAACGCGTCACCAGTCATCAACTCAACGATAGAACACACTTCAATTTTGATTGTAACTGTAATGTTTTGTGATGCAATGTGGCACAATTATATACGCAGGACGCTTTGCGCGAGGACTGGGTGACGCAAGGACGAAAACTGCCGTCGAGTCAAACGTTCAACACCCTACATACCTTGTTACAAAACCGTTGTTTACTTATCGATAATCGACAAACGTAAAAAGTTCGCAGGTAAAAACTTACAGCAAAGCAAAATGAAACTGGAAAGGACTGAGAAAGAAGTGGTAGGTCTAGGTCACGAAAACCTCACGAATGCGAACTAATTATGTAAAAATTATCGTATGGGACTACGGCCCGTGACGTCAACTACGACAAATACATTTCCTAAGGTGGGGACATGGAAAAATCGATAAATTTCCTCTATAGGCCTTTACCTAGTTAAGAAACATGGTGAAATCATAATAATAATAATAATAATAATAATAATAATAATAATAATAATAATAATAATAATATGAAATAAACATCTAATCAGTAAAGTTGTCCCAGTAATAAAATCTATCTATTTATAATTTCCATTTCCATAAATGTAAATTGTGATTAAATGATGATCTAACTTTATACACTCACCCAATATTATTCCTCAACATTGAAACTTACACCGCTCCTTTAACCTATTTACAAAAAGTCGTCTACAGGTCTATTTATATCCCTGTTATTGTTACTCGACTCGGCCCGATTTTAATTTATGTATGTAGGTTTATACCATTTTATGTTTCCACAATACTTTTTCCTGTTTTGAGTTTACAATACAAAATTTTCGATCGTTGACACCTTTTTGCACAATTTATCCTCATCAAAACAAAGCAGTAAAAATATTACTGTATACCTCCACATAAAATACGCCAACCTTCCTTATTAACATGGCGGAACATACAAATTCTAAAATTTAATGCGACCCGGTTTCATTCCGAAATTATCGCAAAAACTGTCCACGCACTAAAAATTCCATCCTTGAATTACCATTAAACTCACATCAGACATAATAAAATAATCCTCCTGACAAAATGCACTACACTTAATTTAATCACAAATAAATATAGATTAATCACAACTATTATCAAAAACATATATTGCGTCGCGAAATTCAGGCCGATCACGCGCAAAGTGAAACTGCGAATGAAGAACAAGAAGAAGGTGCACTAAAAACACACACTCAAGACAATACAATATAAAACAAGACATCGAAAAAGAGCGCACGTGCGTCCTGTGCTCAATAACGTAACAAACAACAACCGAATGTGTAAGTGGGGCGTGTGCGCGACCCAACCACCAATCAAAAAGTTGCCATAACTAATTAATTAAGGAAGTTGTAACGACACACGCGAATACACACAATACAAGTGAGAAATATTAACAGAGTATGTGTGAGTAAGCAAACAGTATGTGAGGAAGAAATAGCCTATTGATGTACCTGCCATCCCACCTGTTTAACTTCCACTATAAACAACAACAACAAATTTTAGATTTCAAAGTTTAAAACATAACAATACAATCGCACATCATCATAATACACTGATATTTATACATAAATTAACACTGACCTGTGATAGTTTCTTGATGTCGCGTCTCGACGCCTGTTTTGGGTGACTTTTTCGAACTGGAGGCGGCAGACGAGAGTGCTAGTGAGGGGAGCGCGCGCCGGGCGCCACTCGCCTCCTTCTGGGCTGCCAGCTTGAATCTAAAGGCGTCAGTGATCCTAGAACAATTATATAAAATTAGTTAATTTTCACGCTGTTTCAATTAATACCTAATTATTATAAATAATAAACATGAAGTATACTTGGAATGCAAAGAAATGTACAAAGAATGCAGACAGTGTACAAATAAAGCAATAAAAGTATGCAAGGCATGCAATAATTTCATGCTCTCTAATTTTTAATAACAGACCATGCATTTATTTTAGTTGTAGTTGTTGCGTTCGCTGATTTCTCAATCATTTAATATTACACGTTGAATTTTTGTTTGTTTTGTGTTTTAACCACGATAAATTTCGACTTTGTGAATTTTTAATTCATATAAACAAACATTAACGTTGTTATAGAAACAAAATTTAACAATGCACGCAAAAAATTAAAGAAACTCAAGTAAATTATTATCTAATCTCAATAAATTAACATTTTAATACCTTAAATATGCACTTTAGACACTTGCAACTTTATAAACAACTTTATAATACAAAAATTTTGATTATATTTTCAAGTTTTTCATTTTTCACTTGGGCACAAAAAATAAAACACATCTATATAAAGTTATCCACACAACTGATGTATTAATACATTAACACAATATCCCCCTTGTTTTCAACGAAATTAACATACGTCACTGCTAATATCTGATTCCTGATAAAATGATTACGATTCGCAGTGATAATAGGTAAGGTGTGTGCGATGATTGTAATGGAAAGTTCACGAAATTCGCGTGGTGGTCGTGACTAGCTGCATGAGGTGCAGCATAATTTGAATATCCTTATCAGTAAGGCATATTATCACAAACGCGTTGTTGGAATACAATAAAATACTCGTATATAACCATTGCACGACAGTCAGTCACAGTTATGCACAATAATAAGGTTGCCAAATTAATTTTTAACTTATACCTGAGATATGTACATCTATATTTTATAAGTGAACATAAAAAGTTATTAAGATGATGTGAATGACGTTAATTTTAATGATAATTATCATAGCGCAATGTTTATTCGAGTATTTTTGTTCAATTTGCGCAATTATTATGAAAATTTGATGCGTTTTTTGTGTCTACGTGACTTCAATCACATTGCAAATATTTAATTCAACAATAAAAAAGATATAAACTTAAAATGTTACTTTTTGTAATAATTTTAGTGTAAGTGTTCTTGAATCACTGCCAGACATTGTTAAAACCTAACTCACAGTCATACAGCAATGTTATTATCAGCTTAGCAACCATTATATCCCAAGATATTATTAAACTCATGTGTTAAATGACAACATTCTCCTTATTATCAGCACTTTATTAGTAATCATATATTCACAAACATAACTGAAAATTAACGGATTAAAATAAATTTACAAAAATACAATGTTACCAACCTAAAATCACTGCGCCAAAACTCCGAACCTTCCCCACGTGCATCCGCCAATCAGATTCTTGTTTAAATCAACACAACACACAAGGAAAGTGAAGGTTTTCGGCGATATTTTTGCCTTCTTCGGCCGACGCCGGGTTTTATGGTTGGGTAATGGTGTGTCAATGACTCATACAATTAATCCGCCAAATTGTAACCGCCTGGCGCAGCATTTCGTGTCATGGATTTATTACATGCAGCATTCGTTCGGCCTTGCATACGATGAACGACCATCACTGTCTGTCTCACAGTTAGGAATTCAATTGTTTCGTAGTTTATTTACTTTCTGACAGGCGAAACAACTGCCAACTTAAGCAAGCACACTAAAAATAATAGAAAATGTCAAACAAACATAAAAATATATGCACATACATCGCATAAGTGAAATTAAAAGTGAAATGCATACTTATAATAATAATGGGTCTCATCATGCAGCGCATGCTTCACCTTCCACATGTTATGTCATACAAATTAAAACCAGTTAAAAGCACATACACACATAGCACACATTGAAACAAAACACGATCGCCAGCAGTAACCCGTATGTAACTTTGATTTTTGCAAACTTTCACGCATTGTTTGATACAGAAATAATTTAAAATGTATAGATATTAACTTACTGTTGGACATTTCATCGTTAAACACCACAATCAACCCTAAAGTAATCCTTTTTCTGATTTTGTGCACTCGTAATCCTCGAGAGTGTTGCGATATTCAATTGTCACACACACATTCACTCGCGCACGGCGACGATTCAGCACCTTCGGTTTTATTATTGACGCAACGTGGGCGACGTTCCAAGGGGCGCGTAATCAAAGTTCACGCCGTAGGAGCCACAATAAATGCACGCCGATTGATTGTTCCGATTGTTCACATACCGCCTGTGAAGCAGCGTAAACGAAACAGGCGCGCGATGACACTCAACACTGACCTCACGCGGAGCGCGCATGCGTACGATACGCGAACGATCTGTTAGCGAAGCAGTACTACCAACAGAAGGCGATAAAAATAGAACCAGATGTAAGGAGTTTCCAACAAAAATGAAATTTATCACAAATAAATTACAATTATTAACAAATTTCACACATTTGATGCATGATATGTTATTAAATTAGCGTAAAACATGTTTTCTAGTTTGTTTTGAAGCATTTGGAGTAATATATTCCCTTAGATTGGTTTAATTTAGTAAAAAAACAAATTTTTGAAGAATAATAACAGAAAACAGTTGAAATTTGATGAAAATCAAACGCAGAATCATTACGTTGACGATATATTAATGAAATTGTTTACATTTCACGCAAGCGCTGCACTTTTACAATAAATCACATCAGTTTATTCACATGCACTGGTTCCATCATATCAAAAGTTGCAAAATGTACAGTCAGCATTAAAATGAATTCATTTTACTAACGTGAGACGTGATCAACAAAATTCAATCAATATTAAAGTGCAATAAATAAATTCCAATTATTTTGAGTATGCATGCCACTCGAAAATTTCCTATAAATTACATTATGTTTATGTTTTATGTTTAAAACCGGGCGAAGTTCCATACATAAACAGAGCATCGAATTCTTTGGACGGTGCAGAACTTGAAATATCCATGGGAAGAAAATCGTCATCTTCTATTTCTGGTTGGTGTTTCCTAGAAGAATGTCCGTTTGTGGTTGGATCCGCGTGCTTTTCGGGTTTCTTGTAGTTTAAGTAGAAAGGTATGATTTTCTGGCCAGAGCTAAACATAAATTAAAGAAAAATAAATGTCAACCTACAGATTTATACACAAATTGAGTAAATTTAGTTTACCTTTTTAAGACGTAAGGATCAAAAGGAAAGAATGCATCCAATACATTGTTATGACTAACAAAACATCCTTTTTCATCTTGATAGACAGTAGGTAAGACATTTCTAGAGTTGTGTTCGATTACAGGATAACAATACGCTAGTTGATAAGTGCGTGTGACGGATGCAAAGTTCTGAACAACAGCTGGTTGACACACACGCAGTGGATTCAATTTACTAGTCACCATTTTTCCTAAATTTAAACTTTCCAAGAACGTAATATCTAAAGAAACAAAACAAATACTTCAGTAAAAAAAACAACAAATTTTGAATTATATAACATACTTTTCCGCGTTGAGACTAAATCGTTTTGTCTGAAAGCGATAACATAAAACAATCCTTGACAAACACTGTAGAAAACACTGTGGACTCTGATATCACCATTGATGTATTCGTTTCCGTCTTGATTCGCAATATACGAGTGAATCCATTCAGCCATTTGTTGCAACGTACCTTTTAACATTCTAAACAAAACAAAAAAACACAAAATTTAAACAAAAATTGTTGACATAACTTAAGTTTACTTACGTAAGTGGAATATATGATGCTCTAGAGATTAAACTAGCGATGTACATCACAGCACTCATACGTAAAACAGGAGCAACTTCCGGTGAAACAACTTTCTTCCACAAATAATTTAGAAATCCTTCAGCGAGTGCGGGTTTCATCGAGCACAGCGCAAACATCACAAATTGAGTGTGATGCGTGTTATAAGTCGGTAGAATAATATGATTGAAGATATTCAACATGTCTTGATATAAATCTAAACAAAAAATGAAATACATGTAAAAAACAAGTTTTTTAGTGAATACTTAAATTTACCTTTAGCTTTCTCCCATATTAACTCAGCAGTCTCTATGTTATACGACTCCATGACAAAATAATTCATCACTTTGTCTAAACTAAGATCCAATGCATACGCTACGCTGTGTTTCATTTTGTTTGGATTGTCGTTGCCATCGTCCATCTGGAATACTTCCTCGTCATCCATATCGGCTTGCTGAATTTCTTCTCGTGGTGAATTCACGTCGAGAATAATCAATCTATGCATAAACATAAAATAATAAATATAATATAATATTGTAAAGAAGTGAATAATGATTATATTTACTTTGAAAATAACAATCGGAAGATCTCTGGTCGTAATTTCGGCTTGTAATCTAAGATACATAGTAAATTATGTACGTAGACTTCGTGAACGTGCGGAGATTTCTTTAAATAAGGAAAATGATTGTCTAATGAGTTGATTAACAAGGCTTGAGTCCTGAAAACAATCAAAAATACAAAATTAGATGATAAATAAGTATTATTGTATTATCACTTACATTGGAATAATTTCCAGAAGGGTATTGATCACAAAATGAATATTTGTGAATTTCGTGCAGTCTTTTTCGGTTGGGACGCCATCGTTCCATACTGGTTCGGAATCAGCTAAAATTAGACACAAAATAATTAATAAAATGCATAAAAATATCACTAGAACTTAAATAAATCATTAATTTACTGCAGAAAAATGTAAAATATCATAAATAACATGTTTAAATAATGTTTTTGAAGCTATTTTAGTAAATTTATAAAACTTTTAATTAAAAAAAGAAATTTTCTACTCCTTACCAGCTAGAAATTGTTGAACTAATTTATCTATCGCAAATTTAGCGTGATAATTATGCGCACACAACAAGTTCAACAAGAAAGATTGATATTGTGTAACCACAGCTGTCCCCCTTGTGCTCCAATCAATGCTTAACAATGCCTCAACAAAAAGCCTCAAGTCATAGTTCAACACCGAAACACACTGCGTCGCTTCATCCAGAAGAACTTTGAAGTCTTCGTCGAACAACTCCGCATCGCGGATCATCACCACTAGGTTCTCATAGTCTTGTACCTGCTGTTTCTTCACGTAATTCTCTAAAATCGAGTGTACTTTTTGCGAATATGGCAGTTGAAATCGCACTTTCACAGCGGTACGCGTTGCATTTAACCGGTTCTGAATGGATGTCGTCTTCAGAATAGATGAAACGTGAGAAGCTTTGCTTCTCTTTGATATAATCGTAGTCATTTTGAACTTACATTAGTTACCGATTACATGCGCGGAAATTTATTCAAGGATGAATGTAACAAAATATGGTGCAATATTTTAAGGTTACTTTTAATTAAGAGCGCGTTATTCTTTTTATTTCAAATAAAACTTCAGTAGAAAGTTTATTCACAGTTGTTTTTAAAGAATATGTACGGTTGTATTTGATTGTTTTAAAAACTGAGGGGTGTTTTATTGTTGTTATTCTCGATGAGTGATGAAGACTCGTTGAAAACGTGTTTTGCGTGGTATTTTAGACAAGTTTCAACATGTTTGCGAATTTGACAGATGTGAAAACGTGAGCGTAGACATGGCAACTAGGGATTTCTAGTTGTAACCAAATTGATTACCATATTTTTTAAAATGTGAAGAATATATATTTAATTAATTATTATAACATTTTATAATAATAAATTGATAATTTATAATAAACATTTTATCTCACACTAAATATATGTCCTAAAATTTACTATTTATAGATTTTAACATCAAACTCTAGAGACTTTTCTTATTATCAAACGTTTCAAGGTTAAAAATCATATGTTCTGTTAAATAATGTCAAGTTTGGTAACACACTTGAAAACTTTGGGGTTATTATTCAAAAACCGATTGAGTTTTCATTTGATTTTCCAGATTTCCTTCCACAATGACCATAATAATCCCGCGAATTCTTAAGAAATGTCTAAAACTAGGCAGTCTTGCAGTTTTCACACCCCAATTAAAGGTATATTGCCATTTATAATCTAAAATTCTTCTTTTGTATAAATTTATTTTCACAAAAATCTTTTAAAACCAGAATATTCGTATGATGAGCCGTATACCAATGCCTGAGAAACCTGCAATGGCGGGCCAAGGAAAAGGCCCTATGACATGGAAATCCTTCGCAATCACATCCGCAATTGGAGGCGGAATTCTTGCATTTATGCTTTATGTAAAGAATGAAAAAGAACAAGCTCAGTTAAAAGAGCGTCAAAAAATGTTAGGTAAAGCAGCGATCGGCGGTAAATTCGATCTAATTGATTCCAACAAACAGCCAAGAACAAGTGAAGAGTTTTTGGGCAAGTGGGTTCTTCTATATTTTGGATTTACACATTGTCCAGATATTTGTCCTGATGAATTGGAGAAAATGGCCAGTGTTATAAACAAAATTGGTAAGAAATTCTACATCCGCCATTTTGTTTTCACAAATATTCATTTCTCATCATTCTAGATAAAGATGGAAACATTGAAATGCAACCATTATTTATCACTGTTGATCCAAACCGTGATAAACCAGAAACAGTTGGCAAATACTGCAAAGAATTCCACCCGCGATTACTTGGTTTAACCGGCACAGAAGACCAAATATCAAAGGCGTGTAAAGCCTATCGGGTGTATTTCAGCGCCGGCCCGAAAGACCAAGACGCCGATTATATTGTCGATCACACTATTATCATGTATCTGGTGAATCCCAAGGTGAGTTTGTTGATTACTACGGTCAGAATCGCGATGCCGATGAGATTTCCGACTCGATACGAATCAACGTTGCTAAGTACAATCAAGTACACAAAGGCGGTTGGTTTGGCGCATCAAAGTGAATACAATAAGTACCAAAAAGTGTTGATAGCATTTGTTTAACTATTGAAATAACTACTTATTATTAATTTTAATTTTTTCTAATACTTGCCGACGTTTTATTACATTTCGGCATCAAATAAATTATTATGTGAGTTATTTTAAGTAAGTTAATCATCAAATGGAGGACATTTAACGTCCAAAAAGAATTGCTCTTCTTCTTCAGGAGTAAGTTCCGGTTTATCGCCACTTAGCGACGCGTAAATCTCTTTTGCACGTTGAAGGATACTTGGTTCTAAAACCTCAGCCATTTCGAATGTGCAACTGGACGTTTCGCCATCTTGAATTTTATATAGAAATGTAATGGCGTTTGTTTCCGGGTGTCGCATGTGTGACATCTTTTGAAAATGCACCAGAGGACTTTCCAGGTATTCTTTCTCTAGAGTTAAGTGTGTTGAGACAACTACATGTGGACAGATGTTGTCTCCGTGCAGGAAATGACGTAGGGCACTTAAAAGTAACGCTTTTGTTACGTTTCCTGTTGTTCCACGTCCAAATTCATCCATTACCACCAGTGAAGAAGGTTTTGCGCTGTACAAAGCATTTCCCATCTAAAAATAACAAAATATTGTAAACTAGTTATTTTAACATTTAATTTTAATAATACCTGAATTAAATCAATCGTAAATGCGGACATATTGAGCGCGGCGGATTCATTCGCATGTAATCTGGAATGTATACTGTGCACCATCGAAATATTAGCTGCAGCAGCAGGTAGATAACTGCCGACGTGTGCCATGTAGACAAGAAGAGCTACTTGTTTGAGGAACATACTTTTTCCACTAGCATTGGGTCCTGTGATGATTTTCATCGGACGATGCAACCCGCCAGACATGTAATGATTCGGCACATAACTTTCATTGTTTATTTCTGCCAGAGGATGGCGGCCATCTTTGATTTCAAGCATATTGTGTTCATTGATAAGTGGTCGGACGTAGTTACGCTCCTTGCCCACTTTTGCCATTGATATTAGTCTTTAAAGTACATGAAATTAGTTTTTATATACCGCCATTTTGTTTGATAACTTACGCGTCCATATAGGCTAGTTGTTCGAGCGGATTCAACATGAAAACATTTTGTTCAATGACGAATGCTGCTACACGTTGGATTATCCTGTTTTCATGATCCTGGACTACCAGTGGTAAGTCACCCAGTTGTTTATCTAATTCTAAATTTATTACATATTTTGTATAAGTTTATTCTTTGGTTGTTTAGTTGGTTGCATATATTACCTTGACAAAGAGCGGTTTTGTAATGAAAGATACTCGAACTTTCAAATAGAAAATAACACCCGTATGGTAATAATTCTTCGGGTGTGCACTTAGGTGACCATTTGCGTACGCTTATGATATGCCCCATGTCTGGGACGAATGAAACAGTGCATTCTTCCAACTGCGGTGGGAGATGATTGACTACAATACGTGCGGCCGCAACAAGACGGTTTTGTATCGTGTTGTAGGTACTTTTCGCCTCATCTAATTCATCATCGATGTGCTCCTTGACAGCAGGACGATCCCTATTAAGCCCAACTTTCAAGTCTAACGTTGTGTTGATTGTTGCTTCCACACGGTACAAATTCTCTGACATCATCTCGTGATATTCACGAAAAATACTACACTCAGTTAAAAATGGTTTTATTTCTTCGTTTACTTGTAGTAACGCATATATTGTCTGCAGGAAAAGTAAAAATTATTCAAAATTGATTTTTATTGATAAAAACATTGCTTACGCCGTATAAAGCACGCCAGTGTCCTGCATTTCCCTGCGAATGTTTAATTTTGCCGAAGATTTTGTACACATTGGTGATTTTATGCAGTGCAGCATTGATAGCAGTTGCAATCGGCGTGTGTCGTGGATCAACGATGAAATCCATGAATTCATAACGCTTTGCCAATTCATTCATGTTTTTAATTGGCGACATTAATATTTCTCTATATAGAAGTAATAACAATTTAAATAGATGTCAATTTAGGTTATTGTACTAACCTTAGTTTTAGAAAGCCCATTTGTGATACGCAGTGAAGTGAGAGAAGTTTAAACAGGCTAACACCTTCTCTGCAACTGGAAAGTCCGCCATGTTTGAACGCAGAGTCGTGTCTCATCAAGTTGAAGACATTCAAAGCGTTGAAGGTCGTGTTATCAATGTAAACATGATCATCTCTATACAAAACAATTAATTAATTTAAGAAAAATTAAATAATAATACACTTACAGTGCGACTTGTTTAATATGCAAGAAAATCAACGCATCGTCGCCTGATGGACGCATATTATGCCATGTTTGCTCTAGAAATTTAATGAGAGCTCCCAGAGCGTACACGGTTTTGGTTGAGTCGACGTTTATTAATGTCTGGATGTAATTCAGGCGGTCTTCGGTTTGAGTATCTGTTGGTTGCGATTGTAATTGAAGTCTTCGCACACGATACAAACAGGCGTTAAAAGCTGAAGAAATAAAATAAATTAGAATGTTATTTTACAACGTGCAAACACATTTGCTACTTACTAAAGTCTTTGAAATCTAAGAGAGTCATGTTGGCCGGAAGTGATACGTATTGCTTGTCTGTTTCCTGTTTGCCATCTGCATTTAGCAAGCAGCCAATCAGTGCCTGAACAAAAGGCTCGGCTATTTTACCCATTGTAATAACATGTTTTGGTGATGTTTGTCGAATCAATGCTTGCGCAGCAAAGAATTTTGGTGCTTTATCAAACGTTTCCATAACGGTGTACAACTAAAAATCAAAGATATAATAGTATATTTCATATTTAAATATAGTAAATGTATTTTTAGGGATATTTTGGTGGGTAGCACTGTGACTGGTAACTGTTCGTGGAAGTTCGTGCTTTATCAATTGGATGGCCAACGAGTACTTCCCCGGTTTAAGATTATACATGAAAAGTGATTGACCTTGAAATTTTCTCGGGCTTGGAGTTGCAAACTGCCACGTCATTCGATTGCCTGCGCTCGTAGTTTGTTCATATTATTGGAACAAATCAATATTTATTTACTACAACTGTCTTCAGTACTCTGCTCTGGTATTCGGTGCTTGAGAACTCAGCAAAGAAAATGGATCAGGCAGCGTTAAACAACCACTCCAACCAGATGAACCCCAATAACGCAGCTTACTGGTCCTCCAGGGGTATGGAGAAACCAAGTAATTCTGGTGGAAGTAGTGGAAACAGTGGAGGATCTGGGAGTTTTAATACTTCCAATGATTCTGGTGAAATGGGTTGGGGTATGTAAAATTTTATACAAATCTATGATATCTCTAACAATTTATGTGTTACTACAGGACAAATGATTGTTAGTGGTATAAAGTTGGCTATGGATATATATTCCATCTTCAACTCCATGCAAAACCAGTAATATATGTTCGATACATGAAGTAATGAATTATAATCCATGCTTAATCTTTACATAGTATGATATCAGGTACTTACCATTTTTTGATCAACATTGTAGTAAGATGCCACCATTTTGTTACATTTCCACATAACACAGAGAATTATGTTTGAATTACGATCAACTTCTTCAGTTGTTTCTGAATCATCATGTTCTTCTTGTGCGGAGTTTTGAATGTTTACATATTTGATGGTGTCCATTTTATTTTCAGTCTGTAAGAATATAACTTTTCACTACTTACGTTTTGTTTCACAATTAACCTGCTTTTTTGTTTTAAAACAATTGCCAGATATCTGTGTTTTGGGTTGCATAAGTAATTTGTACTAATAAAGCATATGATTTAATGTGTGTAATTTTTAATTATTTTGTTATTGTATCTGTAAATAACTAATTTATATTGAGTGTCTTTGAATTTTATATATACTGTATTAATTTAATTTAATTTGTACTTGTAGTAAACTAGAAATGGTTTTAAAATTGTTGCATAGATGGCGCTGCAATATCCGTTTTGACGCAGTCAGTGTGGCGCAAAATAACGTCGAACAAGTGCCATCAACACGAGCAGGATGTGCAGCGTGAACGTAAGCCACCGGTGTGCGTGCATGCGTACGGCGCCGAAATTAAATGCCCCCCTCGTGGGCTCTGTTTTGCTCTGTCCACAGAATGCGTAATGGTCGTGCGGCCGGCGCTCCGTCTCCTATGCGTATTTTTGTGATGCGCATACGGTTTGTCGCGCAGTTTGTTTGGCAAGATGGCGGGCAAAGGCGAGGAGTCTGAGTCGGTGAGTTTTATTTTTTAAATATCTAAACATACAAGAGCGATAAAATTGCGGGCGATTAGCCAAAGATAAGCCAGGGGTTCAAAGCACATTTTGCAATACATTACAACCCTCTCCGCGTTCAGTTTAATTCATTATTCGGGAAATATTCGTAGAATGTGCGTGTGATCGCATGTGTTGCGTTGAGGTTACGCCGGTTACGGACATTACGACATTCGGCAGTCGGCCAAGTGACCTATTTGCGCCGCACCGGCGAAAGCAAAAGTGTTTCGTGGACTTTCCTGGCATTTCTGGTACGCTTTATCCTGCATTGCAGAATATTCGGGAAAGAATCAAATTCGAATCGCACACAGCGAAAACTTTCCCACGAAAAAAAGCGTACAATATTATTGTACAAACATTCCGATCTAAAAAAAAGTTCATTGTAGGTAATTAATTCACATTTCCGGTGTCATAAACAAAAATCGCACTATCGCCGTTTTATACGTACATTTCTATTTTTACGAGCAGTTTTCCTGCAGCTATTTCAGTTATTTTGCCTATTGCGCGTCGGCTTTGACCTTGAATTGTGTTCCTATGACTTTTGCGGTCATTATTTCACTTGTATGTATCATCCACAATATAAAAAGGTAAATGTATTGCTATTGCTATACATTCAATGATGTCATTGTTGTGTTGGTTTCGTTTTATTGCCACAACTTTAAACTTTTACTTTTAAAATGTAAAAAATAAAAGTTTGGCATAAACATTTTACTCCACGTGCTTTCAATGCATATAATTACCCATATTATATGTGAAAACAAACAAAAAATACGCGGATTGTTTTTTCCAAAATATCTTAATAAACATTAATTCCATTTTTGTTGTTTAAACGAGTTTATTATCATGTAGACCACAAGGTCGTTTTATTTTATCTCGCACGTGGATTTAAATCATGTTTGATTTAAAAAAAAATCTATAAATTATTATTTACTAAAAAGTTATTTTTGGATGAAATATGTATTTTATAAGTGAGTAAGTAAATACTTATGTTACATACGAGTACACCTAACATGTTTTCGGTATAATATTATGTATTTATTTGTGTTTGCTTCGCTCAAGGTTGACTGACGACAGGCGATGTCGTTTTTATCACCGAAAAATATTCGCGACCAATTCGCATCGCCGTGTGGCGGTGGGCGCGAATATGTCGGATGTGCGAGTATCTAATATTACTTAATAATTTATTGATGTTGACTTTGAACTCGATACACGTGATATTTTTTTGCATTATTCAAAAAAAAAACAACAAACTGTTTGTATACGATTGTTAATTATTATGGTGAAGTTTAGTCATTGCTGTTTAATTTTGCATTCTTTTACGAATGTAATTGTTTTGGTTGTATTATCTACCGCACGTTTTACAGGATAGGTGTATGGCATATAAGATTATTTAATGTTCGCGTATGTGTAGGTGTTTGTTTTGCCAATGTGTGAATTGTTGGTATGGTTGAAAAGTACTGCGCAAAATGCGGTATGTGTGTTTTCTGGTTCGGCGATAAGTTTAATGTTCACATTGTTAAACTTTTTAATTATACAGGGTGCAGCCGTTATTTTTATTGAGAGTTACAGATTGTTTTAGGGATTTTGTTTGTTTGTTTTCTTTTTACGGTTAAAATAATGAAGATTAATTGGGGATATAGATAGATTATGACTTGGAAAAGGATATAAAATACTTTTTATTGCGAAAATAACCTGACAAACGATAAAATTTAAGATTAAAAATGAGTTTTAGTTGTCTAGTTTAAACATAGAGGGCGCAGGAAGTCATTTATCTGCAATATAAAAATGAATCGCAAAATTTGTTGGTAAGCGCATAACTCAACAACGCCTATACCTATTTGGCCAATTCCTCTTTAAAATGTTTGTTTAAGTCCAAGGATGGTTTTTACGTCGAGAAAAATTCGAATAATTGTTAGGAAAACCCTAAAGACAGCTTCTCTTGTATAGGATAAAAGTTGGCATTGAGATTCAATCATAATTATTGTTAAATAGTTGAATCTGAGCTGGCGCGCTGAAGTGCATTATTAGCAATTCTTTATATAATTAATTTGTTTAAATAAAATTGCGAATCTTATTGATAGAATCGACACATACTATGTTTAGAACAAGAGAGTAAAAATGAATTACATTTTTATTAAACACTACCGAGACGAAGACGCGGGAAAATGCTAGTTTGCTATAAATTTCCAGGAATTTTTTTTCGAATATAATATATTGGTAAATTTCTCAATTATGAATTATTAAGTATTTGTTACAGAATTATGAACGTAAATTCATCGTGTTTATCAATTTTTACTTTTATAAACAATATTTTCAAGTTATTTGCTTATTTTGATGAATAATTCGTCTTGTCTGCTTTTGATACTTACCTACTACAGATTGAGACTGCAAGATTATTTAATCTCTGCTGTCTAATCATCTGATCTTGTTGAATTGTGGAATTGGATCAATGCGGAACAGTGGTAAACACGAGACGAAACAAAACACTCGAAATCGTTGATATTTTTATTGCTCCTCTTATCACTTATCACTTTATTGAAATCTAAGCAAACAAAATGTTTGACTTACGAATTATTTTTTGCTCTAGAATAATTCCCCATTAGTAATAGATATTTGAAGTGATTCTTAGAAGTAACAACGTTTTGGCAGTGACTACTTTCGGATTTTTCTTCCGTGTAACTAGGAAATTTTTTGTCGTCTCATGTGAAGGTGTTGACATGATGCCCAAATTGCTCAGTCATTGAAATTTTCAAAATTCAAATGAGACAATCGTACGCTTGCCTCATTCTCGGGGACTATTTTTATTTTCAAAGTATTTTTATAATCGAACAAAGAGATCACTAAGTCGCCACGTGGCGGTGGCGAATGACGTGCAACTAAACTCAAATCATAGGTGATAGAACTGCTATTACGATCTACAAATGTCTAATTTTATTTTTATTTTTATATGCGTGTAAGATGATGAAATCTACCCGACGTTTACTTGATGCGTCGTGATATTGATAGCGTTTTTTATATTGTTGATAGTAATGGCCATGTGCGATGTCGATGTCGCCTGCTTAGCGCTAAATATAAGCCTAGTGGCGTCGCGACGCATATATAATATTTCTGGACGCCGAATGCGCACCAGCATCAGTTGCGAATATTTTGCGACGCACTATCGGTACGCGGATATATGAAAAATAAAGCTGTGTTTTGCCAAAAATTTTAAATTTAAAATGCGACTGTAGTACTCGAGTTATTGAGTGGGTACATATTATCTATTATATTTAATCGCTTTGGGTATTTATTTTATTGTCGGGGCGTCAAGAGTCATTAATTTTATTGAAGGACAACACAAATGAATCATAATGTACCTATTAATCGTAATTGAATCAAATGATTATTTTTTTTCGATTAATTTTCACTTGAAAATGATTTTTTTCGTTTTCATTATTTTTTAAAACTTTTTTCATTACTGGAAAAACTTCTGGTTTATTTTTACTTTTTTTTTGCGAATATTTGAATTAACTTTTGCATTGGCCACGCTGGCGTTGTTTAAAATAAGTTTTTATTTGATTCAGAGAATTTCGCGTTCGTGTTCCTGGTTTGTTCTATTTTTTGTTTGATGTTGGTATATTTATATGAAGCGGGAGTTTGAAGCAGCGAGAGTCGCAGGACTTCCGCGTCGGCGACGCTTTCATTGACTGGACGCCTACGCGCATTTATTATTCATGTTATAAA